GGCAGGAAGCGGCGCGGGCGAGGGATGTGCTGGCCGCGGCTTCCCGCCGCCCCCATTGGCCTTGGACGGCGAACCGCAGCCAGTGGGGGCCGCGATCGGCCGAACCTGCCGCGTCAGCAGGTAAATAAACTGGCCTGGCCCACTAGGGTGCTTACCCCGGCGAGCCGCGTGCCAAACGTTGCCGACCCCTGATTTAGATCCTGTAAATGAATCTGCCCATGCCTACCACTGCAGCAGCATGGAGTTCTGTTGACTTCACTGCTTGTGCAGATCCATTTGCAGAATCTAGTTCCAGGACTTTAAGTCTCAAGTGCCTGTAGTATTCCATGAAATGCCATTTGCAGAGAGAAGGTGTCCTTGTGGAAGAACTTTATTTACTTGTTGTTAAAGGGATGCTGTCAAGTCAAACTTAGTCCTAAATGTAGGTTTTGGTTTTAAAGGAAAAAAACTTTTACAAATCTTCAAATCAATTTTTATTCCTGTAAAAGCATCTCTTCCTCCCCCCCCCCCCCCCCCCCCCAAACAAGCAAACATTCCTCTGGATTGTGCTAATGCAGAGGAATCAGAAAGTGGAATGGACTAGACCCTGCTTCTTTTCCTTTCTTCCCTTTTTCCATGCTAAGAAAATTACCTGTTGTTGATAACAAATGCAGCTGAACTGGTGCTGTACATAGTTTAAGTGGAAGCAAAGGCAAAGACAGCCTGTTTTCAGCACCAATGAATGGATTTTTCAAAGCCTGCTTTAAAGGGATGTTGCAGGTTCTTACCCCCAAAATATCAGCACCCTACTTCTAAAAACATTAACTCTTCCTTTATAAATGTATTCCTAGCCCTCTCAAGCAAAGTCTTCAATAGTCTTTGAGGAGAATGGGAGAACTCTTTTATACCAAAAAAACCCTACGTTTTCTCACCATTCATTTTACACACATCTGCAACCTGCAAAGAGCTCTGATCAGTTTGCAAAACAAGTACCTATTTTTGCTCCTATTAAACTAACTTAGATTCCTTTCTCTTCAGTCTAGATGGTATTGTTTATTCAGGAAGACATATATGTTTTTGAGGAGAGTTCTTTCAGAGCTTAATCTTTCAGATGCCCAGGTTAGAGATTTTTTTTTTTATTTTATTTTAAATACGTACTTTCGAACAACTGGCTGAAACCAAATCCTAAATCATATGTCTTTTTGTACGTCACTATAAAAACGCTGTTTGTTCATAACTGGAGATGTCCGTGGACATGTTTTGAGATAATTTTTTATCACATTTAGCTTCTCCTATAAAACAATATGCATTTTTTGTCATAAAAATCTTGGGTTTTATTCTAATTTTTTTAACACCTGCTTATTCTACTGCAGAATAGCAGGCTTCATGTTCCATTGCACCAACATCCCTCTCTAACAACAAAACTGACTTTGCATTGTCCCATCCTCAAATAATTATGTGAGGATGAAACCTCTGTTTGCTTAGGCTGCTCTTCCTAGAATGCTGGCCACATTCTCTTTACACGAGTCTTGCAGTTATCTGCACCTTCCTTTCTTTCTTGCTAGCTCTTGTTCACATCCTCCAGCTTTGTTCTCTGCTTTTCTCACACACCTCTGAATGGAAGCTTGGCCCCAGGAATGCCAGGGCAGGGGATTGGGTATGCCTTCTCTGCTTGCCTGCTGTTGCTCTGTCTGATGATGCTCTGTTTGAGGACAATCTTGTCTCAGATCCAGCAGCTTTCTAAACAAGACTTACTTGCTGCACTTCTACTTCGTATGAGTCAGCTTCCTTAAACTTGCATTCTGTCTATCTTGATTCACTCTTGTCTCGTGCAGACCTAATCCTTTTCCATAATTGGAGCTGGTCTTCTCTTATTTCATGACACCTGATTGTGTTAGGGGATATTGATCTAGCAGAAGAGTCTGAAATGCAAACAAGACAGTTGGGGTTAAATCCTGGTCCCAATGAAATCAATAGCAAAATTCCTGTTGACCGCCGAGGAGTCAGGATTTCACTCCTGGATTTTAAACATCATATAGTCAAGATTGTAGCTGGATTTCATAGGGCGAAATCCCAATCTGTGTTTACACCCTAAGAAACAACTGTACTGGCCTCCCTAGCACCAGGAATTTGAGTTCTAATCCTGGTCCTTCCATTGACTGGCCTGGACAAGTCCCTTCACTTATCTGTCTGTTTCATCTCCTGTAAAATGGGAATAATGCTTATCTACTTTGCAATCTGTTTATTTTAAATATTTATGTAGCCTCCTCCTCCCTGGGTCATGGGGAAATTTGTGTAAATGTTCAAGATTTTTTTAAATGACTTTATTTATGGCTTTATTCTGTGGGAAACCCTTTTTCCAAAGGTGTCTAAAACAGAAGTGAGTACAACACCTGGAAGATAGATGCTAAGTGTTTTTATTATTAAAAATTGATGGGACTGGACAGAGAAATCTCTTGACTACAAACCATTTGGTACATAATCTAATTCCCCCTAAATAACGCAGTGGACGGTGATCAATATTTGACTGTTTGCAGGAAAGTCTCTGTTTCCCAGACAGGAGGAGGAAATTATAATGGTCAGATAGTTACAAAAAAATTGGGAGAGTTTTTGTTCTTGAAAGTGCTGGGCACCAGAAGCCAGATCCAGGCATGCACTTTGAGGCCTGGTCCCAAATCCATTGAACCTGATGGAAAGATTCCCATTAACTTCAGAAATCTTTGGATCAGGCCCTTTCTGCACGAGTAGTCTGGTTGAAATCAATGGGACTTTCCAGGCACTTAAGGTTAGACCATGTGCTGAAGTGTCTTGATGGATTGTGGCCAGAGTGCCCAGCACCCTGCATGCGTCCTATCTGCATCTTTCTGGTGCTTGCATATTTTAATGGCAGTTCTGTCATTGAGGTTTGTATAAACACAATCCACATTTTAAAAAATAAAGGATAATTTGCTTTTTTTAAAAAAGTCAGTTATTTAATGTCACTCTCATAACTCCCACTTCTATGTGATGCTGGCAAGGAGAAAGTGACGCTTTCGCCGGTGATTTCTGTCTAAACACTGTATTAAATTCATAAACACATCTTAGACTTCTAGAGCCTGATTCTCCTTTCACTTGCGGCTGCTTTACCCCAGTGTGTAATTTCATTGACTTCAGCAGATTTGCTCCTGATTTTGTATCGGCTTATCGGAGAAAAGAATCAGGTGGCAACTGTCTGTGGGTTTTTTAATACTGATTTGAAGTATAAACAACGCAACTTCATAACTAATAGAACTTGTCACTGAAGTGACTGACTTGAAAGAAGTAAAACGTTACTGGGGTGTCTTCATTCTTGATGTGGATGAGTGAACTGTATTTTTCTTTTAAAATATAACTGAAGTTTGGTTTCAATAATGTCTCCCTAAGTCTCATGTTAAAGTATTTTTTTATTTTATTTTTAGGAGCAAAGAAGACCAGCTGTCTCATCAATTGGTTATAGAGGTTTTGAGGTAGGATTAAAACAGTGTTTGCCTGTTTGGAAAGATATAGATAATGATGATGGGAAATATATTTAAATAACTCACTTGACTCCTGGCTACATTATCTTACATAAACCGGCATTGCTGCTTGCTAGATGCACAGCTGCTTCTCTTCCACTCTAAGCTGTGGAAGAGTTCAGTTTAGTAATAGTCTTAGGGAGTGACCACCTAAATATTTTGCAGTTGGGCTTAAGTAGCCCTTTTGCTCCTGGAAAATGTGCGGAGATGAGATCTGGACTTCAATTGTGGACTTCAGTTGTCTAGGCTACAATAAAAGGTATCCTTTTTATTTAAAAAAAAACAAAAAAACAAAAAACAAGTGAGCTTATGCCTTTTAAAAACTTAGCGTTAACAAGGAAATTTGTATTTTATTGTGTAGGGCTTCCTTGACCATCTAAAGTGGGAAAAATACAACGTACCTGTTAAAGTCTTAGTGTAGGCCAGATGCTAACATGTCTTTAAGAAACCTGCACTTTTTATCTTAGTCTAGATAAGGTATTGATATTTGGGCCTCATTCCAGTTAGCATTGTCTTTCCTACTGTCCAAGGGTAAGATTTGTGGGGTTCGATCCTACCTGCCCTAGGGAGAGAAGTGAAGATGCCAGTCCCGAGGGTAAAAGACAAATAAAAACTCTGCAGAAGTTCATACAAGCAAACCATCTGACCCTGGTTAATTAGGCCGGGAAGGAAGGAAAAGCTGAGTTAATAAAGGAGATGATGTCAAGCTGTCTTAGCCTGAAGGTACCTTCAGGGATGCAGTGAAACAATCAGAATGATAGAATGGGTGCTGAAGCATAGATGTATCCTCAGCTGGTCTGCCAGGGGAGATGAGAATTCAGAACTTTGTGGTGGATATTAATGGGGGGTAATGGGAAATATTTGTAGGAGAGGCTGAGGTTAGCCAGAGTTTCTCACGTTAGCCGGAACAGCATTTACAGCATCATTAGTAACCAACTCTTCAAGAAGAAACATGGCAAAACAATGTTTTCTGTTGGGAAGCTTTTGTTCTGGATCTCTGATTTCTCTTTCCTCTTCCCTTCAGTTCTTGACTGGACGCAACTGGACAGCTGCAAAAGATATGCAGAGATACAGGCATTGTTATCCGGTACAGGCTGAAGATTTATGAACTTCCTGTCTTTCGCGGTTTTTTCCTCTTCTCATGATAGACGCAAGGGGCGCTTGGTTGATGTCATTTTATCAGCCTTAAATTGGCAGATTGATGAGGAATATTAAAATAATGATAAAGTAATTCACTTCTCCTCATCCAATTACCAGGATGTACTCACTACATCCTGCTGGCTCAGAAACAAGCTGTTAGCTCCCAACTGCTGTTCTCAGACTTGGTAGCCTTGCTAGCAACACAGAAGAACTATGGGGAAGATCATTATGTATGTGTTTTAATGCATTGTTGCTTGTTAATGTCTCTCTCTTCTGAAGGGTTTGAAAGAAAGGGAACCTGATGCTGAAGAGGAGGAGATGTGGAATTTAAGTTTTTACAAAAATGAAATTCACTTTTTGCCTCATGGTACGTATCTGACCTGGACCTCCCGTATGTGCAGTTGTAATGCATGTGAGCTTGCAAGGTATCCCACTGATTGGAAAGAATAGAATCCAGCTCTCCTGATTCCCAGCCCTGTGTTCAGTCTGCCAGAGCTCTGCCTTGTGTTGTCTTAGCTCCATGATGCACAAATACATGTAAATCAGGGTTTCCCGTTTAAATTGCAGAATGCAGCCAATTCCTTGGTCATTGTTCTTTCCTTTGTTTCGCTCTGTGGCATGTGCAGAAGTAAATCACCGTGTGCACTTCTGTTTGTGCAGTTTGAAAGGCTCTTTGCTTTTTAAAAGATTAACTGATTGGGGCAGGCAGAATACCTGGTGGGCCCCTCTGTAGTAAAGTATATTTGCCCACAAGCCATTCTGGCAACCCAGTTAAAAATGTTTTCCGCTAGGCGCCTTCCCACAGCAGGACTTTAATGCCTTTAGACCCACATTCACACTAACTTCATATCTTTGGATTAGAACCTGTTGCTGAGCTGTGGGTGTGAACATTCAGCTCTCTAGATGAGTGTTTAGCCATCCAGCTCTCCCTCATGCCCATTCCCTGTGTGCTGAATTCTCACTCCAAGGTGCCTTCACTTCAGGCATATGCGAAAGTGAAATGACAAGAGCTGCCATCCGAAGGGAAAACAGTAACGTTCCATCACTGATCTGAAACCAAGAAATGAGATGAGTGTTTAACCGGACGTAAGCATCTGTAAAGTCTGGATGCTGTTTTTCTGGGGTCTTTCCAGATCCAGCTATGGTGCTCTCTGGGATTTCAGTCTTCGTTCAAGACTGTGAGACTCTAAAAGTACTAGAAGGCTTCTCTCCCCTTCGTAGGGCTTGATCTTGAAAAGTGCTGAGCTTCCAGTGACTTCAGTAGAAGTTGAGGATGCTCGCTACCTCGTAGGATGTACTTGGGTCATTGCAAGATCAGGCCTCAAGTAGCAGCAGACTCATTCTGGAGAATCTACCCCTAATTTGTTGTGTGATAGCAGATCATAACGCTAGCCTGGCTTTTACTTTCTGGGTTTTACGGTGCTTGGTTTGTTAGAAAATAATCTATCAATACGCAGTTATTTGACTATGCACAGGAATGCAGGATTGGGCCCTTTCTCAGGAATGGCATTTCCTTAAAGCCTGCACTCCAATTTATGCAGAAACCTATGCTGTTAAAAACATAACTCTGTTAGGGTCCCTTGGAAAGGAAACTAGGTTGTCATTTTGTTGAAAGTGCTCTTTTTATGTAGGTTACCCTGCCCTCTTTTGAAGACAGTGAGACAGATCCTGTTTTCTGTAACTATATCCCATCTCCTGGACAATCCGTTAACTTGACACATGCTCATTTGCTGCGATTTCTTCTCTCACCTCCCACTCTTTTTTTCACCTAGGCTTATTTATTGATGAGCTCCTTGAAGCTTGGCAGGAGGATTACGAGACTCTGGAAGAAAATCATTCTTATATACAATGGTAAATAATTATTACAAAAGGCGATGTCTCTTAGAATGATTCTCTTCTGATGTCTGTCTCAAAGAATTTGCTGCTTCAGAGCTGCTGTGGCTGGCTTCTCAGAAAACTTTGGGCCCCTCTTGAGTTCTAAATTTGTGAGATTTATTTTAGTCAGTTACTTTCTTTGAAAGTAACAAGAGGGTTGGGTATCCTGAATATTTCCCTTGCAGCTCTGTCAGTAGTCTTCAATCCCCAGCTGCAGTATGTCTGGAAACCAGGTACTGAGCAAAGAGATTGTGGTGATGGTTAAATTGGAAATACCCAGACAGATAAACAATTAAGACTGCTAATAGTACAAGTATGTATAATGACTTTTCGCGGTGTGACTTAGACTGTTACAGACTAAACTCCGTGTCTTTTCCATGGTGTTATGTCCTCTCGAAGAGGACTGTATTTGGCATCTACAGCATTTGGAGACATTTCTGTTAACTTATTTTTAAGGAGCATGTGTGCTGGGTTGAATGTGATCTCTATTTTGTCTAATCTGCAAATCTCTTTCCCTTCAGGTTGTTTCCTTTGCGTGAACGTGGGATGAACTGGCGTGCAAAGCCTCTCACATGTAAAGAAATTCAGGTGTGACTTTCTTTTTTTTATTTCAAGCCTTTTATACTTGAAAGGCATTGGGGGTTCAACTAGGTAAATGTTTGCCCTATACTATGTAAGGTTGCTCCATTTCCTTCCCCACCATAATGGAGCCAGCTCCAATGACTGTTAAATGCAGTTTTTGATGATCTTTTTGCTCCTCAAGTGTCTTCAGCAGTAAATTATAGGTTTGTTGATATAAGCAAGAAATAACCAGGAAGATCCCAAATGTGTGTCTTAACACAATAGCCATTTATAAGCATTGTGTGTAACTGAAAGGCCTCTTAAATCACTGATGGAGACAGTTTAAAATCTTTTTTTTTTGCCATACACGCAAATTTGGAGTCTTTTGTGCATTTCAGGCCTTTAAGAAATCCAAGGAAGTTATGCAAAGATTCATTAGAGCTTACAAACTCATGCTGGGTTTTTATGGAATAAACTTGATCGATCAAGAAACGGGGAAAGTGCAAAGAGCAGAAAATTGGCGTCAGAGATTTCGCAACCTTGATCGGTGAGTCCCATTTATACTGTTTGGTTTTTATTCCTCACTCTTGGGAAAGAAAAATCAAATGAAACCAAAGGAATTAGTTGTGTACAGAGATACAAAGGCTTTCTGTGTTACAGAAGTAGAGTGATCTGACCACAAAACTGGGAGCCAACTAGCCAAGAGTTTAGGTGTCCTTATTCTGGCTATAGCTTGGGAGGCCTGTCAGCATCTTTCATATTATTTTAAATTACTTGAACTGCTTAGAGGCCACAGCTGTCCCACTGTGAGCCACATGTGTATTGTGTGTTCCTCCTTTGGCATTACTAACTGAAAGGTAGGTTTCCATCTGAGTCTCCCTAAGGCTGTAATACAGGCTTAGAGACTCTGATATTTGCGGCCTCGGAGTTTGTGTCTCATACAAGTTTACTCTTCAGTGAGATGGGCCTCAAGCAGCTGTAGTCTCCAAAATCCACTGGAACAGTTTTCACCTATAGCTCAGTATACAGCAGGGATTACTTCTTTTAAGACATGCTGAGAAGAGTGTATAAAGTTCGGTTTTGAAAACAAAATGATCACGGGAATTAAGAGTGAAGATCCTCGTTACCGCTGGGAATTTGGAGTCCAAATTTCTGAGTTCTGTTGTTGGCAGTGAGCATGACTTGCTATGTGTGACTTTGGACAAGCCACTTAACCTCTCATTTACATAGCTATTAAATAAGAATAATTCCCTATGCTTCCTAAGGTGTTTATAAGGCTGCCTCAATGCCTGTGAAATGCTTTCAGATCCTTGGATGAAAAGTGTTACTTAAAAGCAAAGTAGTGGTTTTGTAGGTTTTATTGTCATACATTGATTGGCGATAGCAAATCCCTTTTCCAATACGTATCTTTGTAGTTTGAACTGCACATTAGTGATGGCAGTGGGGAAGCCACCCCCCATTCTGGAATTCGGATATCATTTAATCTCTGCTACAGAGTTAACTGGAATATTGAGACAAGGATGGGATAGCACTGTTGAAAGCCAGAGCAGATAGGCTAGATATTACAGCAATAGATGCTTTTAAAATAGGCTGGCTTAAATGTGATCTACCCTTAAAGATTCCAGTAAAGACTTGTTTGTAGTTAACAATGTTCAGCACATCTACCCTGTCTGGGTTAGAGTGGGACCCTGTACTGTGCTGCTTTCACTTAAAGATACCATTTTCCTGTTTCACTGTCTTCAGTTCTTTTTTTTTTTTTTTTTTCCTGTTTGTGTCTTAGGTTTAGTCACAACAATTTGCGGATAACTCGTATTCTGAAGTGTCTGGGAGAGATGGGGTATGAACACTATCAAGTACGCCTGGTTAACTTTTTCCTAACAGAGACGCTTGTTTACCAAACACTCCCAAACGTTAAGAGAAGTGCCTTGGATTACTTCCTGTTCACCATCAGAAACAAGCAGAAGCGAAGGGAACTGATACACTATGCATGGATGCACTTTAAACCTCAGGATAAGTTTGCATGGGGGCCTCATAAGAAACTCCAGAACTATAAACTTCCGTCGTTAAAGTCTCAGCACTGCCAAAAGGCTGAGGAAGAGAAGGAATCAGTCAGAGATAAAGAAGCAGTTGGAAAGAACGAAACCAATCCTCCAAACAGGGAGGAGAAAGTTGGAGATGCTGCATACTCAGAAACCAACAAGGTGACTGATGAATGTACCTCAGAGGAACAAAGTAAGCGTGATGCCATGTATGTTGCAGAGCGAGGAGACAACGTAGAAGAGAAAGAAGCCTCACTTTCCCAGCTAGAAGAGAAGGTTCTGAGTGAGGACCTTGTGGGCCTGAGGGATGGAGCAGAGAGTGAATGCCTAAAGGAAAGCAAGAAAAGAAAGCTTGAGATGAACAGATTAACTGGAAAGTGCACAGGGCTATTGAAAAGTCCCACTGATATTGAGAAGATCTCTTATAACCTAGGGGAATTTGCTATCGATCAAGAGACCACAGAGACTCTTCCAGCATTGCCAGAAAAGGGTGACCAAGTAACAGCTGAAGAAGGTGACGTCAGTAGTGAAGACTTCAAGGCGTCTGAGTCATCTGATGCACCTGTAAAAAGAAGAAAAGTTGATGAAGCAATGCCAGAAAACAGTACTGTAAATGTGGCAATAAACCCGGACACGGACACCACTACCTGCAACGTCCAAGCAACAGGGGCTGAGAAAGGAGAAGTTAGTGAGGAAGACACGGTTGTGGAAGAAATTAATGTGAAAACTGAGAATGGTGCTGAAGGTGCATCTGTGAATTCATTGCCTGGTTCTGAGACTAATGAGCCTGGTCTGCCTTCTCTGGCAGGCAGTGGCTCAGTGCTACGTGAAGCAAATTCAGAAATACAAAAAAAAGCGCACCAATGTAATGAAACTCTAACAGTAAGTGAAAGCCAGGTAGACGACAGAGAACAGAAAGAAGGGGCAGAAGATGTCCATGCAAGAGGGGAAACAAAAACCCCAGACAAGAACCGGGGCCAAGAGGGTCTTCAGCAGAGTGTGGTGGAATCTTGTCCTGAAAAAGTCAGTGCTAGGAATGTAGCACAAGAAATTGATTGCATTGAGGATTCAGCAAAACTGAATGATCAGCAGACAATGGCAGAGAGTGGCAAAAACATTGCAATAGCACCAGAGCAAGGGGCGGAGGAAGGACAGTTATGTCCTGAATTCAAGGAGCATGGAACAGGGATTCGGACTCCAAAGGCATGTGGAAAAAGACGTCTCCTTTAAAACAATCCAGAACAAACTCAATCTCTCCCCTCCCCTCTGGTTGTCCTAACTAGAAAAAATCTGCTTGGTCAACTTCGTAGGGAAAAGCCCCTGGCCTCTTCCTGTTCCCGTTTGTATCTGACATGCTGGACTATCTGCAAGGATTTCCCCTCTTAACCTCTTTGAAGAGCAAAGCTCTTATTTAATAAGTGATTTTAATCCATGGAATACAGATGTTTGTAGAAGAAACCAATTGGTTTCTGGTTTTCTTTTTTTACCAGGTAACTCCTCTTGGGCACTTTGGAAACTGTCACACTAACAATGGGGAGTTTTTACATTTGTTGTCTCCCTAGCAAAGGCCATTGTGAGGCCCTGTTGATCATCTTGGTGAGACTCTGTTGAAATCCGTTTTTAAGGAGACACCAATTTGGTTGTGCAGTGTTTGTCCGACTTGAAGCCTGGTACTTTTCTGCTCCTTGAGGGCAAAGGTCCCCCATTCTGCTGATATTTGCTTGCAAAAGGGGTGAAGGTAGCGAGATTTCATGTATGTGAAAATGCAAATGCCTTTCCATTGGTAAGTTACTAATTTTAAGAATTTAGTTTGGCATACGAGAGTCATTGATTAAACTATACAGTCAAAATGTTTGACAAATATTAACCTTAACGGGGCTTTTCTCCAATCTATGTGCAGAGATGTTGAGGGTTTAATTCCATCTAGCCCTAGCACAAGTCACTTATGCATTTCTTCCAAGGGTTGTTCGGAGACTGGAAACCCACCAGTCTCTAAGAGAAAAGGGGGCGGGGAATAAAATACAAATGAGGCATTGCTTAAAGAGAATGCTGCCCTCCTGGGAGTCCCTTTTCCTCTCTCTGTGGAGCCCTGATGGTTTTTCAGATGCTACTTTTTTCATTGGTTCTGAGTCCTTTAACTGTCTGTCAATGCAGTTTTCATCAGGCTACCGTTCCCTTGTCCCTAGTGCAGATTTTCACCCTTGATGATTTTAATCCCTTTTCTAGTTTGTGCACATGTTGTGCCAGTAGCATTCTGTCTCTCTGTCCCAAGTGTGTCGTGTGCACTGTCGGGGATCATAGCTGTTGAGGGGTGGGTTGTTTTTTTTGTTTTTGTTTTTTGTTTGTTTGTTTAAACCAGAGGCGTCATGAGAATCTCTTGTCAGCCCCTGCCACCTACTGACCAGCACTAATGTTGTTAGATGGTAGTAACAATAGATATTAACTTGCACTTAATGTTAATAATGTGCACATCAGCCTTGTACGGAATTCAATTAGCGTAAAGGAGCATCATACAATGTAATGCTGTATGTAGGAGAAAATATTAAGGTATTTACTGCAGTGGACCTGCTTCACCAAGCAGGAGGAAAAAATGCAGCAGCTGAAAAGACTGGACTTGATGTTCATTTAAACTCTGGTTCTATTTTTGGTTGGTTTGTTTTTTAAATACCATTTGGTTTTTGTAGCGCATTGCTGCAGCTTAGGTCAGCCATCCTATCAGAGAGAGTTTTTTCTTCTGCGTGTTCCAGCTGTTAAGCAAAGAATCTTTAACTGTTCTGGATTTTAATCTGTGACTTGCCTGCTCAAAACTTGTATGCCCTGATCCAACCTGGCATTTACACATATGTGTAACTCTAAGCACGCATATAGTCTCGTTGAAGTCAGGGCTTATATGCTTATAGTAATACACAGTAAAGGCCTTAAAACCCGTTTGTTAAAGTGTTTTTTTCTCTAGAAGAAAAACAAATTGTGTTTAAATATTAAGTAAAACTAACTAAAGACCTTCAGTGTTTAGAGAACATGGGAAAAAATTGCTTTTTATGAAAGACTTTGTACAGTTTTATAGCTGTCTTTTTATTTAAGTAACGAAGGTCTCACTGGACATGTTCATACATGGCCCACTTTGCGTATCTTGTATGGTGGTGAGTTTTAAATGAGATCTCAGTATAATGTATATTAAAGTATGATTTTAATGCAAACCAGTTGTGGGTGTTTTTTTCACATGAGGAGGAAGAAGAGTGTATTACCAAGTTCTCACTTGTGAGGCTGTTTTGAGGAACTTGCAGGCTGTTGCACAGCTGAAAAACGTCTCTTGGTGGGGAGGGATCTGCAGCTTCTTTGTGGGTAATCTACTGTGTTCTAAACTTGGTTCTGGCCTCGTTGATCCAGTGAGATCTGTCCTAATTCATCCCTTTTCATAGTTCCCTTCCTTATAAACACACACAAACTTTACCCCTCTCTATTTCTCATTCAGCTCTCCCAAGCATACAACTTGTGCATCAGCAGTCTGCTCTAACATAACTGTGCATAACTAGGAATCCTCCAGAAGCTACTGTTTATAGGATAGGAAGCCTGGCACCTATGCCTGTCTTCTATCTGAGGAGTGATACCCCCTGAATCTGAACTGCTGGCTGGCCCAATTTGCCCCAAATTTCACCAATGTCCATGTCTTTGCCTGGCCTGAACAGAAGTGGATCGCCCTTCAGCTGTCTTGTTTTTAAATCCTGTTAGGCTGAAGCATAACTTCTTAAACTGGTGTCTTGTCCAGTACAAACAATACTTTTTTGTTTTTTTTAAGTGTTCTCTCTAATAGAGCTTGAAATTAGTATTCCTTTTTCCTAATTGCCATGCAGACAGGGATATTATCTCTTTAGTCTCACTTGTGGCATGATAAATTTAACTTGCAAAATAAGTGTGTAATTAATAGATACAAAATTTTTATGCAGATGCTGTCTGTGATGCTGCAGAATAATCTTTACTGCTACATTGGGAAGGCAAAGGAAGGATTGCCTTCTGGTTCAGGAAGACCTGGCTTCATTTTCCAGACCATCACAGGCTTTTGGGGCAGGTTATCTGTGTGCCTCAGTTCCACACCTGTAAAATGGGGATAATGCTTCCCTCCATCCTGGGCTGTTGTGAAGATAAATGTTTGTGTTGGGAAGGTGCTCACTTATGGCAGTGGAGACTGAAGCCATACGTAGATGGATGCCACTTTCTGTGGCTGTTGCTCTAGGTTTTTATAATGTGCCATTCCTGCCAATTGACTTTAAGATAATTAGCATCAGCTACTCTAGGAATGGGCATAATAGAATATATCTCTCACACACACACACACACACACACACTACATTAAAAGCAGGAATCAGTTCTGGTTCTGTTCAATATCTTCATCAATGATTTAGATAATGGCGTAGAGCAGTGGTGGGCAACCTGCGGCCCATGGGCCGCATGCAGCTTGTCATGGTAATCCACTGGCGGGCCGCAAGACCGTTTGTTTACATTGACCGTCCACAAGCACGGCCGCCCGCAGCTTCCAGTGCCTGGGAACCCACTGCCACTGGGAGCTGTGGACGGCCATGCTTGCGGACGGTCAATATAAACAAACTGTCTTGCGGCCCACTAGTGGATTACCCTGATGGGCTGCAGGTTGCCCACTGTTGGCGTAGAGCAGTGGTTCCCAAAGGGGATTCGTGAAATGTTAGAGGGGGTTCGCAGGAAAAAATTCCCTAATGGTGGACAGAACTGTCCCTAGGGATCTTGGGCAGCACAGGGCCAGCAGCCCAGAGCCCCTGGACTTCCAAGAGCTAAGCAGCTCAAAGCAAGCCTATCTATCACACTGAGGAGATATAAACTTCAAGACTCCTTATAAGAAATGGAAAGGGAGGTGGATATTTTTTGATATTTTTAAAATTAAATAGGCAGCTAGTATTGTTTTTAAAATTATTATGAAGAACAAGTTTAAGCTTTGTTGTAACATGCGTTGTTTGCCTGGACTGCTCAAGATCTGAATGCTTGTGTAGGAGGAACTCTTTGAGTTGGCTTCTTAAATACCTTCATGCTGTTTCACATCTGATACTCCTTGATGAAACATAGGAGCCTTGTCTTATAACAGGCTTATTCAAAGTGATACAAGCTATGAAAGTGAGATCTTGGAAGAGTGTTGCCATTTTCATAATATAATAAAAAAAACTGTAATGATAAATAATAATTAACAATGAATAGTGTGTAATAAACAGTGTCTCATAAAAACAAATTTTATATTACCAAGATCACTGCTTTTATAATTCATATTCAGGTAAAGGAGAAAATCCCTGGAAATACTCATTTTTTAGGAGGGGGTTCACGAGACTTGACATTTTAGCGAAAGGGGTTCACAGGTTCTTAAAGTTTGGGAACGACTGGCGTAGAGAGTACACTTATAAAGCTTTGTGAATGATACCAAGCTGGGGAGGATTGCAAGTGCTTTGGAGGATAGGATTAAAATTCAAAATGATCTGTACAAACTGGCGAAATGGTCTGAAGTTAGAGTGGATCACAAGCTAAACATGAGTGAACAGTGTAACACTGCTTCAAAAAAAAACCCCCAGCAAACATCATTTCTGAGATGTATTAGCAGGAGTGTTGTAAGCAAGACCCGAGAAGTAATTCTTCTGCTTTACCCCATGCTGATTGGACCTCAACTGGAGTATTGTGTCCAGTTCTGGGTGCTACTTTTCAGGAACGATGTGGACAAATTGGTGAAAGTTCAGACAAGAGCAACAAAAATGATTAAAGGTCTAGAAAACATGGCCTATGAAGGAAGATTGGAAAAAATTGGGTTTGTTTAGGCCAGAGAAGAGAAGACCGAGGGGGGACATAACAGTTTTCAAGCACATAAAAGGTTGTTGCAAGGAGGAAGGAGAAAAATTGTTCTCATTAACTTCATAAGCTAGGACAAGAAGCAATGGGCTTCAGTTGCAGCAAGGGCAGTTTAGCTTGGACATTAGGGAAAACTTCCTGTCAGGGTAGTTAAGCACTGGAATAAATTGCTTATGGAGGTGGTTCAGCATCAGTGCTGGTATAGCTTAGAGATGTATTAACTCCCTATGGGTTCCCTCTGTTGCTACAAGGTCATTCAGCCCATAGTTGTACCTTAAGTACTAGCCCACACAAACACCATGGAGCAAGGGGAGAGGTTAGAGCCCGTGGAGCTGTGCAACAGAGGTGACCATCCAGGTGCCCTCTTGATAACTCCCGCGCGGATTATGGCAAGGTGCTTTTGAACCCCACCTTAAATAAATGCTGAAGCAAGGAGATAGCCTGGCAGCTCACCTAATCAGTGTATTTCACTTGGAGCACAGGACCTTGCTGCCTATTGGTTCCCGAGTGGAGTTTCTGGCTTGGAACAATGAAAACATAACATTTTTGCTATATTTTGTTGGAGGGGGGACCATCTCTATTTGTAATATGCACAGATTTTTGCCCCCGTCATCTCCACTAGAGACAAATGTCACATTAACCCACTGTATGTTTGTATCTCTTTTCTGGGGTGACGGAGCAAGTGGTCATGCTAGGAGACTAGTGCATTGTTGCTTGGAGGGGAGGGGGAAGAAAAGCCATGAATCCACTTTCTGAAATTTGCACAGTCATGGCTTTTGAAGGCATTTGCATTTCTCCTTCCCCACCTCTAGGTCCCCAGCTCCCTCCTCTGTGCTTTCTACCAACTTTCTGGTAGGCAGATGGAATAAGGAGAGGTGGGCAGGCTCTTCTATTCTGTAGCGGGAACACACTCACTTCTCATTCAAAAAGGGAAAAGAGCTAGAGTGCAGTTGCATCGTAATGAGCATCTCTGACCCCTCAATCGCAATGAGTCTCTTTCCCCAGTGCATCTCCACTTCACGATTTTCACAGACAGTCCCCTTCTTTGGATGAAATCATCTTGAATTAACACGTAAAGGGAAACATGGAGCCATTTGTAGGATTGAAGTGGGCATTCACCCACGAAAGCTTATGCTCCAATACATCTGTTAGTCTTAAAGGTGCCACAGGACTCTCTGTTGCTATTTGTAGGATTGTGAGCCTTGCTAATATGCTCACATCTCAGATAATCTACTTTTGGATTGTTGTCGTCTTCTCAGTGTCACATGCCTGTAGTGAAAATATTTCAAAGGCAAGTTTTGTTTTAATCTTTTCAGCTTTCTGTGGCTTTCTCAGGGTTTCTCCTACATTCCTCTTCTTTGCTCTTCTTGTCACTATGCCGGCTGTCTCTTCAATGCCACATAAAGTGCACACAAAAATCAACCAGATGCTCTTTGAGTCTCCAAGAAAAAGCACAGGTGAACACAAATCCGTAGCTGATAAAGCATTTAATGAAGCAAAGATACTAGCCCTATTCTCTGCCCTGACCTCGTGCCTTTATAGGGATCCCTGCCTTTATTCCACAAAAATAAAAATCCACAGACATTAACTAAGTCTTCATTTTTGTTACCTTTCATCCATCTAGTACTAAGTTGGTAGTGAATTGTGAACTACTTTTCACTGGCCTAGATGAGACCAAAGTAACATCTGTGTCTAGGGATGGTGGATTTTAATTTTGTCTCCTTAGGGTTATCTGTCTGAGTGACAATTTAGCTAAGGCAAGGCCAGCCTTTCCTCGGTTAGAAAGGTCCCCTCCCTGTTTGCAGTTGGCTTGAGCTGCCTGTGCGATGAATGTGTGCCTCCTTTCATAACTGACTGTGCCACTCTGCAGTTTGCCCCCCCCCCTTTCCCCACCTTCCCCTTCCTGAAACCTGGTCTCTCTCTCTCTGAGCTCAGCCCCTCTCGCCTGCCTGTGCTTCTGAGCTCTGCCCCCTCCAGCTGGAGACTCAGGTTTATCTGGAGACTGAGGGGCTCATTCGGGAGCTGAGATCTGAGAGGTGAAGGAGAGAACCATTGGAGCCAGGAGCAGAGAAAGGGGCTAGTTTCACTGAAGAGAGGCAGAGCGTGGAGACCATGGCTGGATTCTCAGCTCTTGGGCTGCTCTTTCTTTTTCAACTACTAGCCTCATCCTCAGCTCAGGTAAGAATGTGCCTTTACTTCTAATGGCCAAAAATCCCAGCTATTGATGGAAAAAATACATAAGGAGCAGAGGGTCTCATAGCAGCAGGATGAAATGTGCACCGTATGGCAGCAGGCCAGATAATTGCTGTTCATTTAAAATCGAAAGTTTTGTGTGTCAAACTGAGAGAGCCTATTGCTTGCTAGGTGCCTAGCGGAGAGAGCAGAAGTGTTTCCTGGTAGGGGTTTACTTCATGTCCTATGGAAACTGCCACTTTAAACTTTGTGTAAAAGAATTGTCCTCATAGTTTGGTTTATAGCCGTGTCGGAGAAGCCTCAGGAAAAGGAAAAGGAAACGGTGATTTAGGGGGGGAAAAAATTGTTTTACTATAAAAGACAAAGTTGCCCACTAAATAAAAATCCCCTGTGCTCCACCTCTTCATCCCATTCAGGGTTTTTCTTCCTCCCACCCCTAGTTGATCTATTTTTGAGACCTGTTTGGGAACAAGCACATTTAATTCGTATTCATTCAGGTGAAGCTACGTGTATTCGTAGCAAACGTCCCTGTAGTGGTGTTAACTTTCCAGTGTGTATCGTTCAGGAAAATTCTCGGGGGGAGGATTTTTCGTTGCCTTAATGAAGGAATTTTTGCAGCCTGGCTCAGGAATTCTGAGCTGACCCTCATCTGCTGTGAGCAGAACTAGCTCCACAATGAAACCTTTGTTCCCTCAAGCTGCAAGGTACTCTCTGGAGCTCTTTCCACAAAGCAGACCTTTATAGGATCCCCACTTCTCCCACACCCCTAAGAGCTAAACCCCCACACACTGTCCAGCTCAGATGGGCAATTACTCAAGTCCATTTAGCTGTGCCTTCCTTCAGACATTAACTGTATAGTTCCATCTCTTCTGCTGCCTGGTTGTGAATGTCACTTTTAATACCAACCGCATGCACAGATTATTCTAACTTGCCTTTGCCTTTTCTCTGTGTCTACACTGTGAGTGACTGGGAACAGCCACTCGGGGAGCAAGGGCAGATATGATTCCCTGTAAGCTTCCCATTCAATAAACAGCTCCTGCTGAATGGGGATGGGTTGGGTCTCACGGAAGCACCGAGGATGTGCTCAGATTCTTAGCAAATTAAGTCTGGAAAGAGTCTTGCTTCCTCTGAGTCTGTCATGGATAGAGAAGGGGAGCTGGAGTTGCGCTGTGATCTGTGACCTACTGTGTGTGTTTTTTCTTCCGTTCTCTCTCCCCATCCCTCCCAGAGAGCAGGACCACGAGGCCCTCCTGGACCACGAGGACTCCCTGGATCACCTGGCAAGGAAGGCATAGATGTGAGTGCTGAGCAGTGGGCGGCAGGCTGAGCTGGGGGAGGGAGGTGGGGTGGAGCAAGGGGGAGGGCACATTTCATAGAGGAATTCTTCTAGTCCTCCTGTCGTCCAGAGAGAGGCTCCAGGCATTTGGGCAGCACTTCAGAGGGACCGAATTAACAGCCCATGTGCCGTAGGCAAGGAAACCAAGGGGCTCTGTCCTGCTGAGGCTGAGTTACGTCTGGAGGTGCTGAGTGCCTAGGAGTTGCTCAGCGCCTTGCAGGATCAAGCCCTCAGTGCCAAGTGGGAGTTTATGACAAAGCTAGTGTGTACAACAGGGATTTGTTAATCTTCCGGGCATCCTGCAACACTTTCTCTCTGGCATCTGCAAAGATGCAGGTTAAAGGGTGGAGGACAGTAGTGGGTTTAGTGCAGCAGTTACTGTACTGGGTGTTGTTACTGCACGCTCAGTGCAATACTGTGGATTTTATACCATTAGACAATTGTTTGTTTTAAAACGTGTCAAGCACCTGGCTCTCCGGAGAGGCCCTAGAAAGCCGAATTAAATACACCACACTGGATGCTGATCTCACTCACACTGGCTTGACACCACTCTAGCTACACTGTCTTCAATGGAATTACCCCAGTTTTACACCAGTCTGATGGAGATCAGAATCTGGCCCATTGATTCCACTTGGAATTTAAATGTCCTTAGTTTGTAGCAAGAGGCAAATTAAATCTTTGGGAATACTTTTTTTGGTGGTTAATTCCTTATTATTAACCCTTCCCCCTGACTGCAGGGTTAGCATCTCGGCTCCTGCAGAATTTAGTGAAGGAGGAAATCTTGTCCTATTTCTTTTAGTTGAAGTTTCCGCTGAAATGAATTGAAATTTATACCCACTGGATAAAGACAGGCTTGTCTTCCACACCTATCATAGTGGATTAAAATCGGTTCAGGTAATCTCAAAGGAGACTATTCATATCTCAAATACTAAGGATCAGATTCTGATCCTTTCATTCATGTTGAGTAGCACCTTACTCCTTGAGCTACTTGTCGAGTAATTTTGCTACTCATCATGAGTAAGAGTGTCAGCATGGGGCCTTAAAAGCAGCCTTTCAAAATTCTATTCCTCCCATGCAAGAAAGTTTATTTTGACTGAGAAAGCTAAAAAAAGGTTTATTCCTTTGCATCCTGTAACGGGTGAACAAGTAGCTTTTGTGCCTGTGATTGCAATTTTTTATGACCATTTTGCAAGGCTGGCCACAGTGAAAACATCATTGTTTTGCAGCCATTTCCCTCCACGTGTTCACTAGACTAAGGGAAACCATTTTACTAAATAATCTTATATTTGTTTTTAATAATGAATGGTTTAGAGAAGGTAGGTCGGGAACTTCTGTCTGAAGTTTTGTAATAGAAGAACAAGGCCATTTAAAATGAAAGATAGCAAAGGAAGTTCTTTTCCACACAATTAGCCTGCAGAACTAATTGCCACAAGTTATCATTGCACGCCAGAGCTTAGCAGGATTCAGAAAAGGGTTGGATATTTCTATGAGTAACGACAAAATCTAGAGTGATGATGATAAGGATTAAAAGAAGACCAAGAATTTTAGGGCGGGTATAAACCTCAAGCTTCAGTTCATAGACTAATGGGGATCAGGCAGAAACTTTTCCTGGAAGCAGGCTGTTCTGTTACTGCTTTCTGCTGGGTTTCTTTCATCTTCCTCTGAAGCAGGTGTTACTGGCTGCTGTCAGAGACTGGAGACTGGGCTCGATGGATGACCGGTATGACCCAGTCTGGCAATTCCTATGTTCCAAATACTGTGCGGTTCCCACTAAACAATTTCCCGCATAAACAGAAGTTAGTGTCCTTTGATTTTAATAATCCAAAGATACCATAACGTCATAGAAAAATATAGGGCTGGAAGGGACATCAGGAGGTCATCTAGTTCGGGTCCCCCACACTAAAGCAGGAATTTAGTAGATCTAGTCCATCCCTGACAGATACGTTTCCAATCTGTTCTTAAAAACCTCCAGCTTCCCTAGATAACCTGTTCCAGTGCTTAACTCATTATAATTAGAAAGTTTTCTCTAATATCTAACCTAAATCTTCCTTGCTGCAGATTAAGCCAATTGTTTCTTATCCTTCCATTGGCTGACGTTGAGAACAACTGATAGCCACCTTTAAAACAACCTTCTCAAATACGTAAAAGGCTATCGGGTCCCGTTCTCCCCCTGCCCCCAGTCTTCTTTTCTCTAGACTAAAGATGCCCAATTTTTTTTCAACCCTTGTTTTCTAAGGTCTTGTCATTTTTGTTGCTCTTTTTGGATGCTCTCCAATTTGTCCACATCATGTCACAATGCAGGCAAATCAGTGCCGTCAAAGTGCGGCAGTCTGCTTAGATAGATGTTTTTGAAGATGTGTCAGCTGTTCTAAAACGAAAAGAAATAAAATGCTGTTCCTCACCCTACATGGACTGGGTTTCCCTTCAAGGAACCAAAGGCCACACTTTCAAACGTGGCCTGTAATTCTAGGAACCTCTGTTCTGGGCCCCACCCTGAGATGCCCCTGGCCCGAGTGCTCACGACTCCAGCCAAAGTCAGCGGGAGCTGCAGATGGTCAGCACTTCTGAGGCATCGGGCTTAGCGTGTCTCAGGTGGGAGACCCAGAAACGGAGACATCCCTAACTAATGGCCATTCATGAAAACTTGGCCCTCATTGTCCAATGTGGGCCTTATCCTGCAAAGCTCTGAGCACTGGTTGCACATTTTTAGGGGCTTGTTGAAGGAAATGGACTTGGAGGGCACTTGGCACCTTGCAGGATGAGCCCAGGTAATAATAATGAATAATTAATCAGCTGAAGCTCATCTTGATAGATCATAATATTAGACGGAGTTAAATCTCAGGGGAGCCAAACCCTGCAGACTTGCAAAGGGAGGTTGGTGAGAGTGTTGACCATGTAAGGAAGGCAGGATTTCTCTCATAGGCTGTCCTTAACTGAATGAAACAAGGATGCAACAGGAGCAAAAAGAAAGGAAACATGCTGTCATGTATTAATAAATGAGAAACGCTCACCAGTCATTCAGGGTCAGAGCCTCATACCATTCCACCCATTGAGTCTGCAAGGAATCCCATTGACTCAGAGCATCAGGGTCAATATTTCTGTGGTTAGCATCAAGTGCACCGGCATAGTTTAAGGACCACCGTTTGCCAGGGTTCTCTGAGAAGACATTGTGAGGTGTGTAATCCCACATGGCTGTGCCTTTTTATAGCTCTGAATATAGAGGAACCTATTGAAGGTGTGTCAGAAATCTAGGCTGGTTTTTCTTTAATGAAAGAGCAGCTGTGTAAATTCTAATACTGTAAAGAAATAACTTATTATTTTATACGCATGAGATCATTTTCCAAGGCATGCTCTGAACTTTTCTTGAGCATTTTAAAATACTATGATTTCCTCATGTTTTTCCTGTTATTTTCTAAAACCATCCTGGCCACGTTCAGTTCATAGATGGCTTTAGAGAAATGACTGTGCAGAATTACTAAAGAGCATTTGTGGTCAGATGTACACTGCAAAAGTGTGCAGCAACTGCTGAATATAGGCCTCAAACACTGAACAGTACATAACATGCAACTAAATTATTCAGGCCAACTCTGGATAATCCTCAAATGAACCCTGCGCTATTGGCACCCTTTCCAAAAGCTCCTTGATTTGCTTCTGCCTCTCACTTTCAATCCCACTGAAGCTTCCTCTAATTATCTCCTTTAAAACACTGCATGTTCCGTGATCTGTAACAAGGTAATTGCTTAGCTCCCAAGAATACAAAGGGTGTGTTGTGATTAAACCAGTCACCTAAGAGTTGCTCTGAATTATTTCCAACATGCAATTGTTACAAAGCCATTGTCAGTTCTCTAACAGACATTTCCCCTCCGGTGTGACTTTAATACAGGGTGGCAGAGACTTGGGCTATGTCCTCACTACGGGGGGGTGTCGATTTAAGATACGCAAATTCAGCTACGCAAATAGCATAGCTGAATTTGACGTATCGGAGCCGACTTACCCCGCTGTGAGGACGGCGGCAAATCGACCTCCGCGGCTCCCCCGTCGACGGCGCTTACTCCTACCTCCGCTGGTGGAGTACAAGTGTCGATTCGGGGATCGATTGTCGCGTCCCAACGAGACGCGATAATTCGATCCCCGAGAGATCGATTTCTACCCGCCGATTCAGGCGGGTAGTGTAGACGTAGCCTAAGTAAACTTACTTCCATCTCATGTAAAACCGGGGAGAACTATTCCATTACTGACAGCCACTGATTCTAATTCACTAAGAAGGATGACAGCGATTTGCCACCAGAGGTATAAATGCTGATCAAAGTTCTGATTCTGAATGGGTTCTGCTAGCACAGACCCCAGTGCTCAGGTAGAATCCCCCTGAAATCAAATGGGGACCCCACAGGGGTTCACGATAGCAGATCCCAAGGTGTGATCAGGTCACAAGACAGGAGAACTGTTCCTGAGTGGCTTTCTCTAATGCTGTGACCTTGCTGCCACGTATCAGTATCACAGAGGCCTGTAGGGAAAGGGGGCAGGGTGATGGTGTTAATATAGAGGAGGATATAAAACATTGCTGTTCATTCTGTTATTCAAAACCTGCCATCCCAACATACCTTTCCCCCCTCATTTTCATTATAAAAGCTCTTCCCCAGCTCGGATAAGGGCACCTATCTGTGGCATATTTCTGAGCAAAGGACTGCAATGGAATGGCCTCTGCAAGTCAGAGCACAAAGACTCCCTCTATCTACTGACCCTCCAAGCTGTGTGTTCTTTCAACAGCCGCGCAACACGCAAAGCTCTGCACTCTGACTGACTCAGGGCAGCCGGTCCAAGCATAGGGATTTGCACAGGAACTTTATGGTTGCAGACGTAGTAAACATAGAGTCAGTTCTCAAATTCTTCCACCTTCACAACTTCCCCCACCCAAAATGCCCACTGTAAAGATGGCCACCGCTAACCCTACTCAGTAGCCACTCCTGTGCCTCCACATCTCCTCCTAAGGAAGATTGCAGCTCTCACCTCCCCCCCACAAGTGTAATTAACAAAAAAAAAAATTAAAAAGGCAAGGTAGGTTTATTATTTATTTAATGCCTGCTCCATTCCAGCCATAGGCCCCCTCCCCAGCATCTCTTTGCCTGGAACTTACTTTACCCAGGATACAGCTAGTACTTCTTAAACCTGGAGCACCCTGAAACAATCCTCTAGTTAGCCTGCTGGAGGGGGAATGACCCACAGGTCTCCTTGATCCCTGTCACTGAAAGGTGGTTTAAAAAATAAAAGCAGAAACTTTGTCGGAAAAGTAAACCCTGCCTTAAATTGTTTTCTGAAGGATTTCCCCCAAGCAGACATCACTGAGGTTTCTAGGCAAAATGGAGGAAAAAAGGTTAATATTCTCTCTGCTTCCGGGTGACTGGGGATTCCCTTTCCACAAGGGAAATTTCCAGGTGGTGTCATAACTGGTTCTACGCCACCCGTTTCTGACCCCCACTCCAGCGAGGGCGCAGGACAGGAGGGACTGTGGTGAGAAAATGCCGTGCTCCAGTGACCACAAGGCTGCTCTAACTTTATGCCGGGATGGCTGGCTCCAGGGTTAGGAGAGTAGAAATGTGGCAGGTAGCCATCCATGCCCCCTCCCCAGAGCACAGCTCAGGAGATCTGAGACATGTTAAACTCGTGGGCATAACAGGCAACCCGTTTTCTTAGATTATTAAGAAACATTGCAATATAGACTTTATTATCTCCGTCCCAGATACATAACACTTCCTGCGCAGATTAATATAATTAGGCCATCTTCTTTGCGATTTTTTATTTTAAAATAGCTAGAGGGAATGCAATAGCCGTTTTTAGGCTAAAGAAAATCTTATTTTTCTCTTCATTTCAGCTATGTTAATTAAATGCTCAGCTTGTCTGGAGCAGCTGATCGTTCTGTTTTATGTACCGAGATGGCCCCATTGCTGGAGAATCGCAATTTGTAATGCATTTATCCCCACAAGAGGGAGGTGCTTTTATCCCCATGTTGCAGACAGAGGCACAGCAAGGCCAAGGATTTGCCCAAGGAATCCAGTGGGAGAGCAGGGGATTGAGCCCTGGGATTCCCAAACCACTGGGCCATCCTTGCATCATGGTGTGTAGAGAAGATGAGCATTCCTCCCAGGAAGTGAACATAAAGCTCAGACAGTTCCCATTCTTTCATATCGCTTGGTCCGTGGCCTATGCTAATCTTTAAACAATATGTATGGGCAGCATAGTATTGGGTGTGGGGAGACGTGGTCCAGCAACAGGAGTGGAGATTTTGGAGATTTTTTTATTTGTCACCTTTGTGCCGGGTTGTCAATGCCATAATTTTAACCTGGCTCACCAGCAACACTGAAAATAGGAGCCATTGCCCAGTGGTGCAATGTTATCCATTGGCAACTACCTTACTTTTGCAATTGAATTGGGAGGGATGGAGATCAGTTGTTTTTTGCTTGTGCCTTCTCCTCCCTCCCAAAATTAACCCTAAAAACAGAGCCCATGAATATAATCCATTCAGACACATGTAGTCTGTCTCATCAATGGTTTATGGTCACATGTTCCCCTGAGAGTGTCACAAATCCTCAGGATGTCCTCTTGTGTCTGGTTTTGCATTTGCATATCCAACTCAACAGAATATGTAAAAGCTTCGGTGGCCAGACGCCTTCCTCTTTGCTTTACCTCTGAGGAAACCCAGAGTGTAAGTTATTCCTGGAAGGGTCTGGGATAAATTATGCTGTTTGAGCAGCATTCAGAATCATAGAATCATAGGACTGGAAGGGACCTCGAGAAGTCATCAAGTTCTATCCCCTGCACTCATGACAGGACTAAGTATTATCTAGACCATCCCTGGCAGGTGTTTGTCTAACCTGCTCTTAAAAATCTCCAATGATGGAGATTCCACAACCTCCCTAGGCAATTTATTCCAGTGCTTAACCACCCCGATAGTTAGGAAATTTTTCCTAATGTCCAACCTAAGCCGCTCTTGCTGCAATTTAAGCCCATTGCTTCTTGTCCTATTCTCAGAGGTTAACAAGAACAATTTACCTCCCTCCTCTTTGTAACGACCTTCTATGTACCTGAAAACTGTTTATCATGAATGAAAACTGTTAACTGAATCGTCTCTCTCTCCAGAGGTTGCTGGTGAATAACATGTGGGTTTTGCTAGATAGAATTGCCAACCCTCCAGGATTGTCCTGGAGTCTCCAGGAATTAAAGATTAATCTTTAAGAAGATAAGAACGGCCACACTGGGTCAGACCAAAGGTCCATATAGCCCAGTATCCTGTCTTCTGACAGTGGCCAATGCCAGGTGCCCCAGGAATGCACAGAACAGGTAATCATCAAGTGATCCATCCCCTGTCGCTCATTCCCAGTTTCTGGCAAACAGAGGCTAGGGACACCATCCCTTAATCTTTAATTAAAGATTATGTCAGGTGATGAAACTTCCAGGAATATGTCAAACCAAAATTGGCAACCCTCATAGATGTGGAAGATTGGATCAGGGAACTTCATGTTTCAGAGGATGGCAGGATCAATGGCTTAGCGTATAGTAAGTCACGGGCAGACGCTTTAACGTGCAGATCACCCCAAGTCATGGCAATTCTCCAAGTGGGCATGGGGAGAGAAATGGACCTCTAATGAGCGTGTATGTGGCTGCTGCAAAGAGACTGTGATAGGGAAAAGAACGAGGAGTACTTGTGGCACTTTAGACACTAACAAATTTATTTGGGCATAAGCTTCCGTGGGCTAAAACCCACTTCATCGGATGCATGCAGTGGAAAATACAGTAGGAAGATACATATACACAGAGAACGTGAAAAAATGGGTGTTGCCATACCAACTATAACAAGACTAATCAATTAAGGTGGGCTATTATCAGCAGGAGAAAAAAAACTTTTGTAGGAGAGATTTCAGTTTCATTGTCTTTTTTCATTCCTTTAGGGAGAACCTGGCCCACCTGGTTTACCTGGCCCACCAGTAAGTATTTACTGATCAACAACTAATTTACTCTCTCACTTGTAAATCTGCTACAGGGAATAATGTATGTGAATCACTAGTTTTTCAGCAGGAAGGGTCACAAATTGCACTTTCTCCTTTCAGTCCTCAGCAGAACTCCTATTTGCGTGTTTGGCATGCAAACTGAGAACAACCGGCAGCATGGAGTCAGCACTGACCTTAAGAAGAAACACACTTTCCTGTTTCATAGTTAGAAGAGCAGAGGATCTGGGATAAAGCATCAGAATAGTGGAGCTAAAGGGCTTGTATTGTCGTTCAACTCTCTTTGCAGACATTGTTTTTACAGTTCTTTCAACATGAGAAAGAACACTATGTAAATGCAGAGTTTTCATACGGTTATGCAGCACTCTCAGCTCTGGCCTCCAGTTTGCACACTTGTTTCTGGGTGTCCAAACCATCATTTGGGCATCCTTCCGGTTGCTTGGCTTGCACACACACATGCAGCTTTTGCACCTTGAAAATGTGTGTAGGCCACTCCTGCAACTGCTTTTAGTTTTACCTGCAAACGTGGACTGTAAAATCAAGCTTGGAAATTTGGCCCATAGCGAAAAAATATGCAAACGAAAATGTTGAGTAAAGCAGCACCAGAGATAAAATGAAATATTGTGACAGAATTTGCAATAGGTGGCCAAACATGCGGGACTCAGTCCTCCACTCTGGCTCTGTAAAACTGAAGAGGGGCTGTGTGACAGTGCTAGCATTATGTCACCTTTGTGGCTCCCCATTCCTGAGATCATCCAGGGTCCTCTTTAGCTCCCTAGGCATCTTAGAGTGGTCCTAGGTCTCCTCAGAACTGTGCCAGCTGCAACACCCCCAACCACACCCTGACGCCCCCTTGTGCTCGGGGCTGCAATGGGGATCAGTACACGTACATGGAACTGCACGAAAAGAAAGCTGTGCCAAGCAATTACCAGGTTTATAGAAAAATGAACCAAAGCACATAAGTGTCTAGAGATTTACATACTTGTAGATTAATGATCAAATCAATTTATTTTGAAGACATTTTCCTGCATTGCAGGATATAAATTTAGCACTTTAAGAAATGAGCTGATCATCTTCTATCTTGTATCAAGTCATAGCATGCTTCTGTAATTATTATATTAACAGTGACCGTCTATTAATCTGGTTTAGGGGCCGAAAGGTGCACCAGGGAAGCCTGGAAAGGCCGGTGAAGCAGGGTTACCTGGCCTTCCTGGAGTGGATGTGAGTATTTCAGCTTCTTCTCTTGGATTGATCAAATATTTTACATTGGCAGCAGATGTGGGTACTGAGCTGAATCTGTGTCTTACGCACCAAGGGAAATCTTATGCGAGAGCAATGCAAACAGCAAATTTTAGTTGTTGTTGGGTTTTGCAACATGTTTTGATCAGCGCAAAGTCAAAACTTAGCGCATCAGTGGTCTATCCTAGGCACTAGCTATCAATGACCTGTTTTGATGATATGATCAGCGCTGTCTCTCTTCACGGTTACTCCCAGTGGCCCAGAACAGCCTCTGGCTGTTGTAGTTTCAGGTGATTTGAGGCGTGGCGAACATTTAAATCATCAGGTGTTTATTGTGCAAGCCTCAAAATCTTCCTTTTATTTGGGCTGTTTGCACCCACCTGAAGCATCAATGGTGTGAGCCCAGAGTAAACAAACCTACAAGAGTTCAGATTTTCTTCAGTTCCATTGCAAGTGGATTCTAGGTTCCCAGTAGGTTCAGAATAAACCTCTTCAGTCCTCTTCAGGGTGCCAGATGTCTTTGGTCCTTTCCATCTTGGGATGCCAAATTACTGAAACACTGATATGGCTGCTGTATAATCAAGTACAAAAATAGACACATTTCTGATTCAGGAATGAGGAAACAAAACATCAAACTGATAAAGTTTGGTCAGTTAAGTCCTTTCAAAATATATGAATGTAAACCAATTCATATTTTTGGATTCAGTGGCTCTTCAAGGCTTAATGCATGTACTTCATTAGAGTCCATGTGCAGCTGGCTTTAAGTGCAAATGAGGCAAGGCAGTGATCTGGTGGTAACTGTGCTACCAAAAGCCAATTACTAGTTCGAGATCTAGTGGTTTGAATGCAATGGTAGAGCACTGAAACCGTAACTGGCCAGTCTTCCATGGACTTCTTGCAGCACGGCATTATTCTTTGCTGTCCTGTAGCTCATTGTGCATTGTCCGGCCCTAAAATCAGCACATATCTACCTTCCTGATGAGAGCACAGCAGCTGCATTCAGAGAATTGCAGGTCTCCGAGCCTAGCGTACGCTGCCTGCCTGCCGCCAAGCATTGAACCAGATTACGTACATACAGCTCTACAGTTCTTGATCCAAATGCTGTAGCATTGTACTATGAGAACCTGGAAGTGAAACTGATTCAAAATACATCATGTCTGTTTTCCTTCTCCCAGCTGAGTGAAATTCTGATAGTAAAAACTACATAAACAAGGAAAATAAAACTAGATTATCTGAACAAGTGCAATGCTATGGTGCTTGGGTTGCAAACACTATGAGGAAATCTTTAAACATACATTTAATTGATTTTTTTTAAAAAGTGGCTTATAAAAACATGTCTTCTTACTATTAGTAATATTTTTAAGATAACCTAAATTTGGTTCTAAACTCGCTGGCAGTGTCCCTTTAGCTATACAGTTGCTTCTATAATTACTGTACATTCCCTTTCCCCAGCAAGGTTCTGGAGATTGTCTTCTCTCACCTCCTACCCAACCTGCAGAACCTCTTTCATTCTGATCTTTGACCCTTACATACTAATGAGGTTTGCCCTTCTGGGTGGTTAATCACCTGCTTCCGCTTCTGAGCACATATCTCTCTCACTATATCTGATCTGATGGCTTGTTATACTAGCCATCTTTCCTCTAGACAATTTCCAATGCCTCGAGAAAAGGCAGTGGGGTAGTCCCCCAGCTGATATCAATTGTCATAGCTCCACTGATTTTCATAGAGCTATGACTGTTTATACCCGCTGAGAATCTATCCCAGTGTCTTCATCAGTTTCCTTTTATGGTTTTCCTAACTATCCTGTATATTTGATAAGCTAAATGTTTAACACTCGCTGTCCTCCATTATGGAGCGCGTGCCTCTTCCTATTTTCCATTTGTCTCCTTCCTCTGAGTTGTTTCGTTGCTGGCTTGAACGTTGCTTCTAGGGGGATGGCCCCCCAGCTCTACATCTGTTGACATCTGCCTCAGCCCTCTGTCTCCCATTGCTCTCTGGCTCAATCAGGTCCTCACTACACCGTGATTTCTTAGTACTGAACATTTCAAAGACTCAAGTTCTTCTCCTTGGTAAAAAACCAAACCAACCAAAACCCTGTGTTCTCATCTTTCTTATTTCACTGTCACTCTGCTTAACTTTCCTTCCAAGGCCCAAAAACCTGGATTCATCCTTAACCCAAACCGCCTTCTTCACACCACCTCTTCTGTTTCTGTATGCATCTGTCACCCTCTCTGAAACTCTCCCTGGACTAAGCAACAGAGAGTCCTGTGGCACCTTTAAGACCAACAGATGTATTGGAGCATAAGCTTTCGTGGGTGAATGCCCACTTCGTCGGCGTTGCTTTTTACAGATCCAGACTAACACGGCTACCCCTCTGATACTTGTCTCCCTGGATTGGTCCTTACACCAACCCTGACTTTGCGGAAATCCCTTATTCACATGTTTATCACTTTCCTCCTTGTCCATGACAGTTCCCTTTTATGATCTTAAATTCCCATTCTTGATACTTCACAGAGTCCAATGCTACAGCCAGGTCACTCTTGGCCTAGGAATTGTGAACAATAGCAGCCCATCCTTCATCACTTAATCCTGGGTCTATCTCCAAAACCCAATTCATGTTTGCCTTCCTGGTTTCCTGACATCTCTGTGGACTCACTCCACTCCATCTAACTTTGTCCCAAGCTCAGTCACTCCATGACTCCAGCCATGCTCTCCCTTCCATTCCCCATGGTGAACCCAATCTGTGACCCGATGTTGCATTTCTACTGCCTCATCTGTCTGGCAGTGACTTCCTTCCTCCCTCTAAGATATTGAACCATGGCCTATATTTGACTCTGACCTTAAAACTTTCCTTTTCTTTAATAGCTTTTATAGGGACACTGTAAGCATTTTGAGTCCTACTGAGTCACACCTGCCCATTAACAGCAGTTTACTCCAAGAAATAGATCACCCAAAGTGTAGGGTACCACTTAGAGTGAGTATTGGAGGCCCTTCATGATACTGCAGCACATGAAAGACGTTTGTGTATAAAGGTATGGTATTGTTATTGCGCTGTCTAATTTATTGTGATACTAGAAAAGGGATTTTAATTGCTTGCTGGCCCAATCCTGCCAGGACTCTCACACCTGAATAACTTCATTCATGTGAGCAGTTCCACTGGAGTCTTTGCAGGATCAGGGCCTATAACACTTGTTCCAAAACAAAGCTAAGCATTGAAACTGAGTCCCAGACTGTGGAACCTCACAGGTTTCAAGAAACAGACACATATGGCTATTGATTTTTTTTCTTAACATTCGTGATGTGTTTTTAAACAGTAGGCCCCAAATCTCAGTTAAAATGATCAGTACTGTAACTATTTTAAAATGAATAACTGATGAAATAACACTTTTTTAACAACCATATGTGTTTTGATCGTTTATTTTAGAGGCAAATTAAATGAAGACATTTATTTTTAATATCCGATTAGGGATCTAATCATGAAAGTAGGACAAAACCTTCAAGGGCCAAAAATGTTCAAAAGTAGGTGCAACAAGTGCCTCAGCCGAAATATATATACATCTACTGTATGCAAAAACTGTCATTTGCATATGCAAATCAGATGATTTGCATGCACAACTCTGGGGTTCTGTGGCCACTGTAGGAGCACACCCTGGGCTGCAAGAGCACCCATTGGCCCTAGCTTTGGAAATTTGGCCCAAATTTTAGCTGTGGTTAAACAGTAACTGACTTGGGTGTTTCACCAGATGTGCTGAATGAGCAGAAGAGACCCACGTACTTTCCGTCCCTGGTTTCTCATTAAGAGGATGGTCGTCAGGATTTCATGGGATTTGGGCACCCAACTCCCTTTCTGTAACAGGGATATTGGTTGGGGTTTCCAACAGGCTCTAGATCTGTCTTCTTCTCTGCTCTTATCCCTGCCTTTCTTTCCCTCCCAGGGTTTAACAGGACCCGATGGCCCACCCGGCCCAAATGGGCCACCAGGAGAAAGAGTAAGTATTAGAACTTAAATCCTTAGTCTGCTTATATTTATATTCTCAAGGCACTGCTCAATGGTTATTTCAAATCTCTTTGTAACTTGGTGACATTTGGAATATTATTTGTATAGTCCTAGCACCTAGAAGCCCTAGTCCTGGACCAGTTCTCCATTGTGCTAGGTGCTGTACACCCCTTGCATGCTTGTGCACTGGGTCTAATGTTTGTATTTCAGGTGTTTGTGTGTGTTGACATATTTCACTGGTTTGTTTCTAATTGCCTCAGGGAGCCATGTATGTGCCTGGTCTTGGATGTCCTGGATAAGGAAATACCATTAGCAGACCAGATCTCAGGATACTTTGGTTGCATAACTAGCTCCTTGATGCATTCAGAGAGCCTGTGTAGAACATAAATTCAATGAACAAGCTTTCCAGGTTTATCCAAATACCGTTATTAGGGATTTATTTGTGGTCTGAGTGCAGAGTCCTGTTGTTTTTTTCTACTGCTGCTTTTTTTTCCTCAGTTGTGTAGACTGGTGTCTTTCATTAATTCCTGGGTTGTGGTCACGCTTGACATGGTGACAGCATTAGTTGCATCAGCATGGATGTCACAACCTTCACAGCAAAGAAGCAAGATAGATGTTTTTTCATTGAATGTAATAGCTGCTTATAGGAACTCTGCCCAGGGGCACTATGGGAAAGAGAGAGGTCTGCCGTAGGTCTTCCAATGTGTTAGGTCTCAAGCTTTGTCAGTCATGGAGCAAAACTGGACTCTTGGTTGCTTCCCATCTGTGCTGGCATTCTCCGCTTGAGACTCCATCTCCGTTGCGGTCGCCTTCAATAGAAACAGAAGGTGCGGAAGGATGTTGTGCACGAAGAGGAGATAAGTAGGGGGAGGTTTTCAGATGCACTCACCTTTGACTTAACTCAGCTCCCACTGAGCGTTTTATCCTTGATTTCAGTGGGAGCACAGTTAGGCCATTTTTGAAAATCCCCACCAACAGGGCCCAAGGGCCTGATCCCATGAAGTTATGGGTGCCCTCAACTTCCCTTCAAGGGGAGTTGGGGATGCTTGGCTCCTCCCAGGATCCAGCCCTGATTTTCAATACAAAGAAGGCCTGGGCCACAAAAACATGCCTCATTTGCATGTTCTGTTACCCATATTTGCACATGCCCATTTGAGCACACACACACCTGATATCCATGTGCAAACAGGGTACCTGAGAATTTGATGTATGCACAAAGAAACTCACATTTTAAGCATTTAGCTGAAGCATGCAAATTCATTATTAGCGCACACAACGACCTAACTGTATGTTCAGATTAGACATGTGTTCCCAGGTCTTGAAAACCTGTTTGTCAGCATGGTGCAAATTTTAGACCTGTTGACATTTACAGCATCTTTTTAAGGTCAGCAATCCATCCAGAAAGTCTTTTTTATAGTCAGTGTAATAAAAGCAGGGGAAGAAATTGTTGAATTTGAAAACAGAGCTTTAGCAATGCAGAATTGTTATCCTAACTTCATTTTCTCTGGCCCTTAGTCAAGAAAGCACGTAAGAACTGTTGCAGTCAATGCAATACAAGCATGTGCATACTGTCTTCAATGGATGTAAGCATGTGCTTAAAGTTAAGCACATACTTAAGTTCTTTTCTGAATAAGGATGTTTCCTAAACTTGGGCCTCTGTGGGTAAAAAAGGCTTTTCTGGCTGTCACTATGAACAGGTGTGCTTGGCTTATGGCAGTGTATTCACAAGAGATTTTTAGCTTCTGTTACTATATTATTAAGAAATGTTTCTGTTCTCCCATAAAGGCTGCCTCTCTTGGTTGGGCAAAGAGATTCTCAAGCAGCCTAATGAAATAGTTCAGTTACTCTAGGTCTGTTCTCCCATTGACTTTAGGAGTAGGACTGTTCCTATATCAATGGCATTGTCAGCCCTGAGAAATTTTTAAACAAGAAAACAATTAATTTTGGCTATGAGATTATCTGGATTATCACCTTATTGCTGATGCCAAAGGATTTTAAAGATTTAAAAGATCAAAAGATTTTAAAGGGGCTGTTTGAAGTTTAGTGTTTTATACTGTGTGTACACAGTGTAGAATGCATCAATAAATCAGTGGATCTCTGAGAAAATACCAAGACTCAGCTACTTTCTAGAACCCATAATAATTTATATTTATGTCTGAATTTAGAATGTCATATTAGCCACACATTTTATATACTGTATCCATGGATATTCAGAAATAATATTGCCCCACTGTAAAAAATTATGGTAAGATTATTTTCCAATCCTAAGAGAAAGCAGAGTGTTATCAGGAGAATGAGTTGAGTCAGAAAATGCATTATTAACTGGTGCACCTCCACTGAACTTAATTGAGTCACACCTGACTCCAGGACTGCATATTGACCTATAATCATTGAAAAGTAGAAGGAACCTTCATTGCTATGTATTAAGGACCCGAACTTGCCCCGCTGAAGTCAATGGGAGTTATGCAATTGATTTCAATGGGAGCAGAATCCAGGTTTAACTCAGTAGGTGTCAGGAACTTAACATTTTCTTTTTACAGGAGCAGTATCTAGCCTTGTCCTCAGTGGTTGTAAAGGTTTTAGGGTTAAAGATGAAAGTGATCAGAAGAAAACCTGAGTAATATGCAATGGGACAATGGCTGAGTTGGCATCTGCAATAGAGTTGATTTTTATCGGATTACAGCCTGTTCCTAGCAAGACACTTCTTAATGAGCCACTTGGCTCCTCAGAAATCTGTTTGCTTAATCATCCTCCTTAAATTTAATAAGGGAAAACATTTCTAATCTGGGTTGGTATGCAGAAATCTTGGGGTGGAAAGGCAGTGCTTCCTGGGATCACCAAGTAAACATTCTGACCAGCAGTTACTGGGTTATTTTCCAGGTCTGTCCATCTGTCTTATCACACTCTGTACTGGATACAATTTCAGACTCTTTTCAAATTCAGAAAATGCCCCCCAAATATTTCTGAATTAAAATAATGGTTTCCTGGCTGAGAGATTGGATGCCAAGTTTTAACCTTGAGTTGAGGGTCTTTTGGCTTCCTTTTAAATCCCTCTGAAAATAAAGGTCACTTCCATTTCCCAGGCATGTTCTGTGGAACCCAAATACTTGGCCATAATATTTCAGTACTTCCATTCCTGACAGCAATCTGGACCAGGTCATGGGAAGGCAGGAGAGAGAACATGAAGTGAAAGTCATCAGAAATCTTCTGAACTCTAAGGGCTGGTCTACACTGGGGGGAAGGGGGGGTCGATCCAAGATACGCAACTTCAGCTACGCGAAAAGCGTAGCTGAAGTCGAAGTATCTTGGATTGAATTACCCTGGGTCCACAGGGCGCGGGATTGACGGCCGCGGCTCGCCCGTGGACTGCGCTACCGCCGCTTTCTCTGGTGGAGTTCCGGAGTCGACGGTGAGCGCGTTCGGGGATCGATATATCGCGTCTTAACGAGACACGATATATCGATCCCGGATAAATCGATTGCTACCCGCCGATACGGCGGGTAGTGAAGACATACCCTAAGACCAGCATGTTTAAAGGATCCTAGAGGAGTTAAGCACCCTTAGGCCCCTTAAAAAATCCTAGCCCATAGAAAAATCACTTCTGGTTCAGTTTGAGTTTTGGGTGGTGGCATGCGAGAGTTTTTATCAGAACTGGTTCACCCCGGCCTCATTTGACAGGTTCTGAAAGAGGAGTACGTGCTATAGCTCTTGACAGACTGGTCTCCAAACACACGCAAAATTCCTCAGTAGAAAATAATGGGGCTGTTAGGGTGCATTTGTACCGGTGTCATCTCTGAGACACCTGCAATTTATTGTCTACACTTCTGCTTTCACTCCCCCCCCCCCCCCCACCATTTCTAAATTGTGCATTTAAAAAAATACTATTCTTTTTTGATTTTGGGGCGGGGGGTAAGAGCCAAGGCAATTGGAGTGTGTGGCAGCCTGACAGACTCCCCCAGACAAGGAGGCAATCCCGCGAGGCTGCTCTTCAAGTGGGAACCTGACCTTCACGCTCTTTCCCTGGGGAGTTGCTGGGAGGAAAAGGGAGCTCTAGCGGCAATTTCAAAGGGGTTCTATGCATGCCGCCCGATCCAATCTCGGGGCCTACATGTGCAATTATGTGGATGACATTCTGAAAACCTGGGGGCTAAATTAACAATGGCATGGGCGGTTGTTCTAGTTTGTGCATGCAGTCACCATGCACAATTGCACACACACACTGGCAGAATTGACCGTCTGTGTGTGCCGTCATGGGAACTGCACGTGCAAATTGGGCATGGATTTTGTGCGAGCTTTTTGTGAGCCTGTGGCAATCTGACCCTGAGAATCTCGAGAGTCAGTGAATGTAACAGACGAGCACTCCACTCACGTGGGGCTTCTTGTGTAAATTTTTACTGGCTGAGCGTTAAGTTTAAAATGGCCTATAAATAAATACATCGCTTGTTGTGTGTCTGAGTCTGTCACCACCTCATTTACTGTTCTGAGTTCTGCCTTTACCCTGGAATCGCAGCAACTGAGAACAATAGTAGCAATGCAAGTAAAGACCTGTGGGGGCAGGTGAACAAAGCCGTTCTATCTCGCATCGTGAGCATCAACACAGCATAGAAAAATTCAACGTGAGGCCTGTGTTGGTGCCATTAAACAAAAGATGAGCTCACTATCACTCACGTTGAATAAGAGTGGCACATCTCCTCCTCCTCCTCCTCCCTTCCCTCATGCTTGTTAACATGAATAATTAAGTCAACCTTCTGTTATCGGCTGTCTGGCTGTATTTTCCCTACCCTGTCACAGCTAAACCTCCTTTCTGGTTAAGAATAGACTAAGAACTTTGAGAACATCAGTCCGCTAAACTCAAGCAGAAACTCTGGGCAGTAGAAAAGAGGGTCGGGCTTGGGGTCTAATATTTGTGTGTTTACACATTTCATTGACTTTTTCAAGCTTCCTGGAGCCATTGATGGCACTGAAATAACACGAGAGCTGGTCTCCTGATGCTGTTTCATTTCCCAGGTGGTAGCAATGCTATGGGAAGGCCAGATGGTGTGTTACTTGGACCAATAAATTGTTCTCCAAGACTAACAATGGTGGTGAAAAATGAAAACTTTAAAAATACTCAGCTACTGAGGTTTTGCCCAAATGCCAAGAGATTCACGTTGAAGCAGGTTTCTGTGGAGCTCCCGTGCATTTCCCATGCACAGATTTGTATAAGCCCTTAGTTCTTGGGTACCTCACAGCTCCCTAAGTTACGCTCTGTAGACAACGATCCTATGTGCGCATTCATGCGTGTGTGTCAGTCATTTGAGATAAGAAGTAAACTATTCCATTTTCACTGGTAGATACAGGAGCATCTAGGGAGTGGAACTCGTTCCCCCAGGATGTCTGCCTTAGCTCGTCCCCTTCCCATTTTTCCAAAGGCCTCTGAAAATACTGACCCACATCTTTGACTGAGTCTTCGAGCTCCCTTCTGTGCTGCCCAGATCCTGGTGTGGCTGTGTACCGGGCTGGTCCTTGGGTGTAACTTAGAGTGGCCATCAGTGACCCTGCGGGGCTGATACAGCAGCTGGGAATTGCTGAGCTGTAGGGAAGCCCCAGCCAAGTTCTGGTTTCCCTGCACGTGCCCCCTACATTGACTCCAGGGAGGGAGGCGGGGGTCGTGTTGGAGCCGTATTGCTGGAGAATGCCGCTATAGGGCTGCTTTGGGCAGGCAGGGTGGCAGAAGGCTCACATTAATAGCCGTGTTGATTTCAGTGGGGCTACTTGTCAGGGCGAGGGTGCATGTGTGTGTGATCTCAAGCCCAGAGAGCTTGTATTTAAACCTTATCGACACAGTAGTAACCAGCACCTGCTGTCAGCCGCAGTCAAGCGTGCGATTCCCTGATCTGTCCTCACCTTCCCAGGTGGAAAATAACCTTTGGTTCCCGTAGTTACCTCCTTATACAACAGCAACGGCTGCTCCACACTAGGGGCTCCCAATCTAGCCCTTTAGAAATTGAATTGGGATTTTAGGACCTGATCTTGCAAGGTTAAAATCTGTGCCTAAGCATGGGAGAAGTCCCACTCGGGCATTAGTATGCCATGCAGACACATCTCTGAATTCTTCCTTTGCTAGGAGCATACCATGCTATTTCCTAGGGAACTCTTCATTGTTACAGGTGTCATCAAAAGCGTGTCTTGATGAAGGTCATTTTTGATATGACAGTAGACAGCTAACTAGGGGTGCGTCAACTGCAGTGTAAGCCCGGGACTATGGGACCCAGGCTTGTGGACTGGATGTTTCCAAGCCCTCGCTTGAGCCTCCGCACTGCATTGTCAACCTGGGTTTGCAGTTGCTGAATTTGAGTCTCCCAGCCGTGCTAACATCCATAGTGCAATATGAAGAACTTCTGACTTGGGTCTGCGGCTTGACCTGTGTCCACACTGCAAAATGACAGGGCTAGGACCTGAGTCACCGTGTGACTTGGGCTCTGACCCACCTTCCCCCCCACAACCTGGGCCCTGAATACTTGCCGACTGGAGTCAGATTGATGTGTGTGTGGACGGAAGCGGGGCTTGGGCTCAAACCTGACTTGGAGCCTGAGTTTAGTGTGCAGTGTAAATATTCCCTCAAGCTCCAGGATCAGTTACTGCATTAAGGCTTGTTGCTGACTGTTCCGGTACAGTGTAGATTTTAAGGTAGGTTAATTACACAGGCAAACGGCTGATCCTGGGCATATTGGCACACCATAAAGTTTTGCAAATCCCAACCTGCAGGAGTGAGGACTCCAGAGTCGCTAAAGATGTCATGGAGTTTTCTCAGAGAAATACAAACCTGTTGCCAGTTTTTAGAAGGTGGGGATGACAACCCTGTTTGACATTACAGTCCGCTGGGCATGGCATTAGTATGAACGATCATCTATGCCATGAGACTTAGCGTATTGCTGGCTAATGTTTTATTTATAGTCAGTACCGCAGTGTGCTTATAGATAAGCCCTCTGAGTCTCCAGATATTTGTAGGGAAGATGGCTGGTGAATTGTATGATTCAGCACGCACCATTGAGCACAGTTGCTTACTCAAACAGAAGGAAATGTGTTTGCCCTCAACACCAATGTGAATAAGCCCAAATCTTTCCTGTAATTTCACATGGCAGCAAGGGCAGAGATGAAGTTACAGGAGGCCTGCCATTCTGTAACCCATTGTGTTCAGTGGCTGTAGAATCACCATGCAGGGAACAGTGTTTTCTTCATTCATTTTTCCATTTAGTCTGCTTTGGAGCATTAACCAATGATTAATTTCATAGGCTCTTTACAGCGTTGGCACCTTCAGAACACAACAAAGGGATTAAAAAAGCCCAGCTGTCTTTCTTGTTATCTGTAATGAAGCAGGAACTTAGCAACTTCAGTGATCTGATTTTAGAGTAAAATTTAAGATTGCAAACATCGCTCAGAAAACTGTAAATCAGGCTTAAGGTTTGGAATGCAAAAGCAAGAGGGAAATAACACCAGAATAGCTGGCAAAAAGAGACAAGTCATGGAATCTAAACATCTTTGCTTGAAGGGGGAAAGTATGAATTAATAAAATGCAGTACAGTTGGGTCCCGATCCTGTCAACGATTTCAAATATAGCCTTCGGGTCCACAGCATGAAGTAATTATGAAACGGGACGTTTCAAATGGGAGCCAGTGAGATTCACTCTATCTGTAGCAAACTTTAAAGATTCCCAGTGACCAATCTGTGGCGTGTAGTGGTTCCCCATATTTAGTCTCACTTAGTGGAGTCTCGTGTTTTAATATCGGCTCACAGATTTTTCTAAGAGAGTAGGGAAAAGGTTCCTGGAGGCTCTGTTTTGAGCATCAAGAACGTTCTTGAATCATTTAACTAATCAGACATGTCCAAGGGTCTTTTACTCATGTCTGTGAATTCAGACTCGCTTTTCCATGTGCATGGTGTAAGATGGAAGATGTGTAAGATGGAAGGTACACCATGATCTGGTGAGTTCTGGATGGTATGAGCCAGCAGACTGGCATCTGGATTGGAAACTCCCCTTTTACTTCTGTGGAGAGGCCTAACCCTAACTCATATTCTGATGTTTCTAATCCTACAGGGTGCTTTAGGACCTGCAGGGCCGCCTGGACCAGCTGTAAGTAATTCTGAGAATTTGCAGACTTGTGTAGCGTAATATAGGTGCAGAATTCCCCATAGTAAAGTACCAGCAAAGCCTGTTTTGATGACAGCTATCTCATTGTGAGGGTCAGATCACAGGGCAAGAAAAGATGTGGGTCTTGTCTTGAACCAAACATAATGGCTCAAAGATGAAAAGAGATAATGTACTAAGTAGAGATGTTGGCCGGGAGGGGGCTGTATTAAAATATATATATTTAAAATATATAAAACCAGTTCTAGCTGTCAAAGGCTTGATCCAAAGCCCACTGAACTCAGTAGGAGACTTTCTATTGCTTCAGTGAGCTTTGGCCCAACATTTATAAATTACCCAGCGTGGTTCCTGTCAGCAGTGGACATATGCCAACTCATCGAGCATTGCGCTGGGCGAGATAAGGTCTTTTCCAGCCTATAAAAAGGAGCTGTCAGAATGTCCAGCCTGTTGAACCATCCAGCTGGTTAAGCATCCTCAGAGACTTTATAATAATTCTGAAATCCACACAGCTGTGTTAGAAGATCTCTTTATTTACTGGGGAGTCACATTTAACCATCGCTATTTGGACCAATGGTATTACAGAAAAATTTAGAGCTAAATCCACATTGATCAGTACTGATGTCTTAGTAACAAAGCCCCTCAAAAACCCTACTGGGAAATTAAATGATGGGCATGTGTTTAATTCCAGATATAACCTCTCCACTGAAATACTGCATTTAAAAAACCTTGGCTCCTTAATGCTGAAAAATCAAATAGCCTTTTCCAAGGTGATGATTATTATGGTATTAAAAATCCAGCTTCTCAGCCCAGGGAGCAAACAGGCATGACTAACTCAGTGTGCAACATCAGCGCGTGCTACTGACACCGCTGCTCCTGCTGGTCCTCTCTTCTTATGACCAGGAGGCAGAATATCGAGGTGCACAAAGAGACAAGCATTCCGGTTGCTTGTCAGTTTCAATAGACTGTCCGCTCCCGAGGTCAGAACGGGCGAGATGGGATAACATACCTCGCCCACATGTGACATGGCCTATGTTGTACTGCAGGTCAGACTAAGTGATCAAAGTGCCCCTTGTGGCCTTGGAATCGATGATCTCTCGATGATATTGTAAACTCTGTGTTTACGGGCCAGAAGCCGGTCACACAACTCGGTCACATAACATTAACTCGGTCACAGTCCTTATTTTGTCGGGGGGGGTGGTAGATTTTTTTTTTTCATATCCCCAGAGAGATGGTTTTCTTTTAATGTAGCTTTTAACAGGTGCCAAGAGAAGTGGCTCTCCAACAGCAAAAGATTTGTAGAGAAAACCAGGTTAAAAAAAAAAAACGAAGGGGAGGCTATATTTCTAACCTGATATGTGCACATGACCCGTTGATGGGTCACTGGATGAATCTTGCAGCAGAGAATAGCCCACGGGCAACAAAGAGGAAAAGTGAACACAAAATACAGATGACAAATCTAGGATTCAGTAACTGTCTCTGGCTCCACTTTCTGACTAAATTAGAATAATAGGTGCTAGGGGAGTGTTGGGGGGGAAGTGTTTTTTTGATACAATGATCCACTCTTTGTGTGGTCAGTTTCCAAATGATCTTTCTTTGTTTTAAATTTTGTTTTCAGGGCAAAGGACTGCCAGGCCCTCCGGTAAGTAGCAGCATCTTTCCCAGGGCTGGTCTACACTACAACATTGGGTCAACTTTGCTACATTGCTCAGGGGTGTGAAAAATTCACTCCGCAGAGCAACATAGCTAGGTTGGCCTAAGTTTTAAGAGTAGACCAGGCCTCAAAAAGGGGGTTTAAATTATTACATTGGTTGTGTTCTAGTTCGGTATTTTCTCCAAAACCCACCCACAGACCCAGATCCTTGAGTGCTCTGAGCCACGCAAAATCCAGTGGGTGTGAAGCCATGGCTAAGGATGGCCTGATGCACCCTTTACATTACTGGAGGCCGGTTTGGCCTCTGATGTGAATTAGAGACGCCACAGGGTGCAGCAGCTTTGTAACTGGTGGGAACATTTCATTGCTTTCCCCTGGAAGGGGATACCTCTTGGGGACAGGGCACAGGTAGCCAGGGAGTGTCTGTGTTTGTATAGCGAGCATCTGGCCAATGGGGTGATAAGGTGTGTAAGGGAGGGGTGTAAGATTGGACCAGTCCCTGAGTGGGAGGGGTGAGCAGCGTAAAGTGTTTGCTTTTGTACTGTGAGGGCTCTGCTGGGTAGCAGCATGGGTAATGTTCTAGCTCTATTTTACAGGGGCCTCCAGGAGCCAGCGGACTCCCGGGTGGAAACGGACTTCAGGGGTCACCTGTGAGTTTCCTTTGCTGTTTAATTCCCATTGATTGAACATCCTGCAGCCACGGAAGAACAAGGTCTATTTCTGGCCTCTTGCTGCACTTGGGAAGGTTAATGAGAGTATGACACCACACTTGCTCTGTGAATAGGCCAGCAGGAGATGCCATTCCCTGTACTGGCTAGTGCGGTGGGTATGTGTCAGCTACCATGCCAGAGCTGCTCAAGTGTTCAGTCAACTCGCCCTCTAGTGGCTGAAGTCTACAGGGCGTGTAAGCTGTAACTGCGAAGGAAGTCTTTGTTTCTCATGCTACATGTGTGCAGGTTAGCTGGTGACAACGGCGTCCATTCTTTGTGGCAGGGGATTTGTCACACCTGGAGCTCAAGTGTGTCACTGGCATGAAGCCATTTAATATATTGCAGTCATGCACAAAATTTGCATTCGCATTTTGAAGTACAATTCCTGAGGACTTATGCCTCGGACTGAAGGAATGCAGGTGCAAATACTCAGATTTGTCCTTGCAATTCCTTTGGCAGGCACAAAAGCATCTGCAGAAAGAGACACCACGGCTCAGTCCTCTTCTAGACATGTCCCCTTACGCCACAGTAAAAAATGTGATTGCACTTTCATTTCTTTTCGGATTTTCAGTCAAGTTATTAATATGGTGAAATTGTCCCAAGAAAACCTTCTTATCCTCATTCATCTCATATATAGTATTTGGGGCCTGCCCCACTCCCATTGGATTGAACGGCAAAACGTCTGTTGATTTGAGTGGGAACAGGATTGGGTCCTTCAGTGAACTCTTTTTTTTTCCAAGAGAGATTCTACAGAGGGTGTATATGGGAATTCTTATTATTTCTCACTCCTTTTAGGGACCATCAGGTCTTCCAGGATTCCCAGGACAGCCTGGACCTCCAGGGCCTCCAGTAAGTTGTGATTTTTCCATGTAGAAAGCTAAACTTGGTGTGATTTTTGGAATCTTCTTCTTGTGCCCGTGGAAGCAGCTGACAGGGCAGTTGCATTTTATTTGCTGTTTTAGGTTTAAACTCCCACTTAAGTTGAAGTGTTCCCTACACGCTAAAAACAATGCATTAGAGCAGTGGTTCTCAAACTTTAGCAACCCGAGGACCCCCATTTTGAATTAAATTTTTTCACAGACCCCCAAGGCCCCTGCTCAGCTCCAGGCCCTGCCCCCACTCCACCCCTTCCCCCAAGGCCCCGCCCCACCTTTTCCTGTCCCCGCTTCTCCCCTACCCCTCCACTTCCCTGCCTCTTTTCGCCCCCTCCCCCGAGCATGCCCCATCCCCGCTTCTCCCCCTCCGTCCCAGCACCTCCTGCACACCCCAGACATGATTCCGCCCCCCCTCCCCCGAGCGCACCCGTTCCTTCCCCTCCCTCCCAGCGCCTCCTGCACGCCACTGAGCAGCTGTTCCCCGGTGTGCAGGAGGGGGAGAGTTATGGGAGGGAGGGGGAGGAGTTGATCAGCAGGGCTCGCAGACCCCCTGGGATACCCTCGCGGTCCCCTGTTTGAGCAACACTGCATTAGAGGGAAAGCAATGACTGTTTATTTCCCGTGCTTATGAGTGTTTATTATTCCTGCTGATGCCGAGTGGGCAGGGCATGATGCAATGCCATGTGGCTTCAGGGCACACACTGATCACGGGAAAGATTTTTCCTCCCGGGTAACCATGGTGTGATTGGCCGTATTGTTATGGGATTTTTCTTCACGTTCCTCAAAAACAGCTGGTCTTGGGGCCTGATCGGGTGAAGATGATCCTGTGAAGATGTCTGGCTCCCTGTCTGGAGGGATTGCTTACTCTGACAGAGGCAAGAGCCGGTATCAGATGGAGCGACAGTCTGATGCACTATATCAGACCCTGTGTTCCTGTGATCCCATGTCCTTGTGTGGGTTGCTGGCTGTTGGGATTTAACTTGTGCATCTAAAAGCATGAGCCTCTGTCTACTGTGTGAGCTAAAACAGCCACCTCTGTTAGCTATGGTTGTACTAGCCTCCCCAACCACTGTGTGTACCAGCAGCCATCCCAAGAGGGGGACGGATGCCATGCGGGATCACACATATCCTAAAACTAGCTTTTGTGTGTAGTGGAGTAATTGTGCAGGTAGGGTTGTTGGTAATTACATATAACTGAGGAGATGGGTCTCCTTTAAAGACTTCTGCATTAGACAATGAGTGGAAAGTCCCACCCCTATAAAGGGAAATTCTCTGTGAGATACCAATCTTGGGAACATGGAATTGGGGTTCCCTCTGGAAAATGTACTCCTTGGAAAACATGGTTCCTCCCCACATCCTGCAGATATAACCACACCTCTATGTTGGTCTGCTTAAGCCACAGCCATTGTGTTGGCAGCTGTATGGTCTAGTGGTTAGAGCACATGACTAGCTGTCAGGGCTCCTGGATTCTGGGGTTCTGTTGCTAACTCTGCCACTGATTTGAGGTGGGTGACCTTGCTTCATTGATAGCGTGATCAGACAGCAAGTGTGAAAAATCAGGACCGGGGGTGGGGGGTAATAGGAGCCTATATAAGAAAAAGACCCAAAAATCGGCACTGTCCCTATAAAATCAGGACATCTGGTCACCCTACTTCATCCATCTCTGGAAAATGTAAGTGGCTCATAGGCCTGATGCTGGCCATCTGCCAAGGGGTGTGTGACTTGGGCAAGCCATTCAACCTAGTGCTGCTTCCATTTTACCTCCCTGTAAAAGGAGTGTAAATATATTGACCTAGCTAACTCATGAATATCTGTGAAGTGCTTTGATGAAAAAGGCAATACAGAAGTAGAAAATATCTCTGTCAATAAAATATGTTTTTTGGAGATAACATTTCCTTTGGTGCTTTGTGTTGATATATTTAAAAGTCCAAATGTTCTTGGTTATAGGGTCTTCCAGGGGTTCTTCCTGATGGCAGTGGGGACCTTCAGGTAGGTTTTTCTTTATATTGTAGCAACACATTGTTAATTTAACCCCTTAAACAATTTTTTATGTATGGATTTGGGTGAACATAGGTCTGTTTTAATGTGCAAGGGCTAGATCATGCAAACATGCCTGGGAGTAGCATTACCCATTAAATTAATGGAGCTGTTGTGTGGATAATGTCTTCCAGGTGCATGAGTATTTGCCCTATCAGGGCCTTGGACTCTTTCAAGTATGCAGATATTTTAGTGCTGTTTCAGGATATTCCTTGTCATTTTACTTCAATTTGATCCTTGCTTCCCTACTGTTGATTTTGCCTATGTTTGATCCCGTGCCAGTTTAATAAAAACAAATTTTAGCATTTGACAACTGATGACAATTTTTCATGCATCTGTTTCAAACAGAAAAGGTCAAATTTGTTTTGCTGTTTATTTCCATGGGCAGCAGCACCTTGCTCCCATGAGCATAATCCTTGTTTGTTCTTTCCTTTTTGAGCAAATGTCTTGATTTCTTTATTTCAAAGGAATGAAACAGACATTAAGGTAATGAGCGATATAAGTGACATTTCAAGATTTCCCAGCTGTTGTTATGACAGCTTCTTTGCTTTCCTAATTAGAGTACTCCAAAAAAGCTTCTGTCTTGTTGACACTGCCTTTTGGGAAAGACTTCTGGAATATAATAGAAAATAACTTTTTGGTAACTTTTTAGGCCACTTTATAGAATTTAATAGAAAACTATCTCCCTGCTACAGAATTATATACAAAAGTAAAAAACAAAACAAAACAAAAACCTATAGAAAGATCTCATTCTTTATTTTCTATATAGAATCCTCTTAAACTTTTATACAGCTTTTGATTTAATCCCTGTGAAATTCTAGAAGACTCTCCCATGTGGGCCAGACGCAGCTTGAGAATCTGTTGATAGTTCGCTTCATTTTTAACTAAATTCCCATTCCTGTAAACTTTTATGCATGAGCTTTTCCTTTGATCGGGTGAGATCAGTACAACTTCTAATGGGAGTAAAGTTAAGTGTATTCCTAATTGTTTGCATGACCGAGCCCAAGTTTTCCAGTAGAGCAAGATCAGTGGACATGGTCTGCTGTAAATAAATATCCTTGTTCTTTTTAAAATACGGTTTAGGGCCTGATTCAAAGCCCACGGAAGTGAGTATTGATGTCTCTAGGCCCTATGTTTTCCAGACTCAGCCAGGGTTGCAGTCAATATTAGGAAGTCTAGATAGAAGAGACCGTATTACTCTCGATCCAGGCATGCAACTCCCATTGACATGTACAGTAGGTGATTGGCTTGGGTGATGCAAAAGAAGAAGGTTTTCTAACCATCAGAGGCATGAGGTTCCAATAGGAACAGTGAGGTCAAATAACCTAACTAGTTTTGAGATGGAGCTTGGTAAGTTTATGAACAGGATTCTGTGCTGGAGTTGCCTGTGATAGCAGGGGGCTGGACTCATGACCCAGGAGGTCCCTTCCAGTCCTGAGTTCCTAGGTATACGTTCATAGGAGATGTCTAAAATTGAGTTGGGGCTTTACGGCCTGGATTACAGAATCCATCCATGTGCCCAGCTTTGTTTCATGTTTTGCTCCCAAGCCCCTGAGGCCACCTGCTAAGTTTAGACTTGAGAAAATCCTCTCCTGTTGTTGAGAGGCGCTATGAAGTGGCAGTCGTTACCTCTTTTGTGTGTTAATCAGTCTCTCTAATTAGGCCACAGAATAGATTCCAGCATCACAGGAAGCAAACCTGGAGGTTATTAACTAGAACTGGACTAAATATTTCTCAAATTTTGCTGAAAAATGTAGATTTTTTTTTTCATGAAATGTTCAGGTTTTTGGAGGCAGTGTGGCCTAGTGGATAGAGCACTGGATGGGGACTCAGGAGATCTGGGTTCTATTCCCAGCTCTGCCACTGGTCTGCTGGGTGACCTAGGGCAAGTCACTTCATCTCCCTGTGCCTCAGTTGCCCCATCTGTAAAATGGGATAGTGATACTGGCTTCCCTCTGTAAAGTGCTTGAGTTCTACTGATGAAAAGTGCTATAAGAGCTACAAGGTGGGAGAGGTAATATCTTTTATGGGACCAACTTCTGTTGGTGAGAGAGACGAGCTTTCAGGCTACTCAGAGCTCTTCTTCCAGTCTGGGAAAGGTACTCCTGTCTGGTCTACACTACAGACCTATATCGGTATGAGTACTTCGCTCAGGGGTGTGAAAAATCCACACCCCTGAGCAATGTAGTCATACCAACCTAACCCCCAACGTAGAGAGTGCTGTGTCAGCGGGAGAGTTAATCCTCTCGGGGAGGTGGATTAACTATGCAGACCGGAGACCTCTCTCCCCTCATCTTCATGAAAGCATTACAGCAGTGCAAACCGCCCATGCAGCGTTTTAAGTGTAGACTTGCCCTCAGTGTTACACGGCGGAACATTCAAGGTGAATTGGGCAGTTAACACACTGACACCTTGCCCAGACCGGAGGAAGAGCTCTTGTAGCTCCAAAGGTTGTCTCTATCTCTCCAACAGAAGTTGGTCCAATAACAGCTATTACTGCCCCCACTTTGTCTCTCTCATACCCTGGAACCGACAAGGCTACACCAACCCTGCAAACAATATATAAGAGCTAGGTATTAGTGTTAGTATCATTGACCAGCATATTTTCCCCCTCAATAATAATGACATCCGCCTTGCTCCAAACACCCATTGTCTGTGCTAGCTAAACCCATGGCTGTTTGTTTTGTGCAGTGCCCCGCTCTCTGCCCCCCAGGCCCTCCGGGTCCTCCAGGAATGCCAGGATTCAAGGTAAGAAAAATATCCTCTGTAAACACAAGGAGTTGAGTCCCAGAACGTGTGGCAGCGGGAGGCCCTGTGGCTGAGAGCAGGACTCAGGTTTACATTGTACAAAGTACACTACAGTCCTCCTTTATCCGAGCCGGTGGGTCTTGGAGTACGTTACCCGGACACAAAATGCCACCAGCTTTTATTTTCAAGAGACAAGTGAAGGATACAGGCCCCATCCTGCTCTCAGCACATGGCATTCCCATTAACATCCATGGGAGTTCCAAACACACAGGGCTTGATCCCGCCAGGTGCCCCGATCCACCAAAGCACTTAACCACACACACCCCCATTGATTGCAGTGGGAGAATTTGCAGTGCTTAAAGTTAAGCACATGCTTAAGTGCTTTGCTAAATCGGGGCTCCGGGTCCTTGCAGGATTGAGCTCAGAGTCTCTCTTTGTTAGCTGTAATTTTGACTGTCTCCACCGCAACTGGGAGGGTGCTCCCCAGCGCACGAAGGCAGACGTACTTGCTCTGCTCCAACTAGTGCGCTAAAAATAAGAGTGTGTCTGGGGTAGCAAGGGCAGTGGCTCGGGGTAGCTACCTGAGTACAAACCCACCCGGACCCCCCTGGGCATGTCTCAGGCAAGTAGCCCGAGCTGCTGGCCTGGCTACCCTGCTCTTTTTAACATGTTAGCTGGAGCACCGCTAGCCCATGCCTGCCTCCCCATCCCCTTAGAAACACATCCCGGGTTTTTAAAGTACACTTATCACTGTGCTGCAGAGATACCTATTGTATTGTGGAGGGCCTAACTCACATGACCAAATACCATTTCACCCTATTTCCCACCTACCGTAGAACCCAACTGCTCCTCGGTTTACAATGTGCTGCTGGCAGTATGTACATTCAAGGCTGCAGGGGGCGTTCAGCCGCACTGAAAGGCAATACCCCTCACTTCCCATCCCCCACCTTGCACGGATTGGGTACCGAATATATAGTTCACCTGTCTGGTGGGACCAAACCTCAGCTCAGCTTCTCAACCAGCTGCTCGGGTGCTGAGCTGGGGGAGCTCAGTTTCTCTAATCCTTGCAGCAATATTTAGCAGATGTAGAGGGCCAATCCTGCAGGAGGCTGAGTGTCTCCTGGGGAAATACTGGTGTCCTTCAGCTCCCATGGAATTCAGCCCTCTGCGGGAAATGCTCAGCTCCCCAGAGAACTGAGAGATCGTTAGAAACACATACAGTCAGCTGTTAGTGGTAAGGGGTGAAATTCAAGGCCCGCGAAATAAGAAAGTCTCCGAATAGGGCTTAAGTAATGGATAGGTCCTGAGCTGATCCTCTGCACAGTGAGGAATTTCACCCGCTAACTAGTATTAGTATGGTCTTTTGCCACAATAGTAGTGGGGATGGAAGGAAATGAAGCAAGGCAGAGTTTTATATCCAGCTCGTTCGAGTGTATATGGGTTCATTGCCAGCCTGACGGGGTTGCCGTAGCTGTAATAATGAGCTGTGGAAGGTTAAATACCCTTTTGCATGAATGGGCTTTTAAAAAAATGTAAAGACCTAGGGTAACATTTTTCAAAAGCACCCAAACCCCATTTTCAAAAGTGACACAGGGCAACATTTTCAAAAGCACTTAAGACCCATTTTCAAAAGTGACTAGGACTTTTGGTTCTCAGTCACTTAGATGCTTTTGAAAATTTTATCCTTAGGCATTTAGGAACTGTAACATGGGCAGCCCCCTCGTGGCCAGAGATCACTCTGTGGTGCCCTGCCTCTGTTTCCCTCTCTTCAGGGCCCTTTCAGAATTCACAGTTCAAAGGTGGTTCCCATTTATTTAGTCCTTTGGTACATACCAGCACCAAGCAGTTCAGTGTCTCTCTCATGACTAATCCCAGATAACACAAACTCTCACAGCCTTCATCCCAGCTGGCCTTTACTGTCTCTCCCCTGTGTGCACAAGGTCTCTCCCAGACCTCCCTGCCTTGACAGCTTTCTCCCACTCTCTTCTGCTTCTTCAGCATTTCCCCTGCTGACTCAGGGCCCTGCAGTCTCCTGGGCTTCCCCACCCCACATCAACTTCCTGCCCACTTTTTCCCCCCGGATCGCCTGATTCAACCGAGGTGTGGCTAGTCCTGTAATCGGGGCTGGCTTAACCCTTAGCTCTCCAGCCCCTGGGGCATGTCACCCTGTTACAGGAACCTAAAGTCTCCATTGGAAGGCATTTTTGAAAATGTTACCCATCCTTCACAACTTTAGTAGAATACATTCCAATAGACACGGACACGTCTTGATCAACTGCTTGTCTATCCTAAATGCAACACCCATCCAAGAAATGAGAAATGATGCTACACCGCAGATGCGTAAATTCCTCTCCAATAACTTCCGTCAGTTCCTTGCCTTGCTTTAAATCCTGTGTCCCCCTTATATAGCTTAGCCTGCCACAGAGCAATAATGAAACTCTCAGTTCATTCTTGATTTTATTTTTAGGGGCATACAGGCCACAAAGGAGAACCTGGGGAAATAGGAAAAGATGGTGAGAAGGTAAAACTCTGTTTAAAGATTGGTGGGGAGGGTTAGCATGGAGAAGATTCTTGGGAAGAAGGTTACCAGGATCCAGGGTGAGATTTATCATTGCATCTTGTCTAACTCTCTGGTTTTCTATCCCCAGGGAGACGCAGGCCCTCCAGGTCCTCCGGGGATTCCAGGCAGTGTCGGCCTGCAGGTAAAATCTGCCTTTCAGACCAAAGCAGTCCCCTGATGCTCCCCCCAGTCACGCAGGGTTTCAGTGTGAAATGTGAACTGTTGGGGTCTGTCCATGTGGCTCTGGGATCAAGTCCCAGGCCAGCCCCTCTCACCCATTGTGGACACGGCAGTGCGCTGCTGGTAACAGACTGCACTGAGGGCCTGATCCAAAGCCACTGACGTCCATGGAAAGACTCCCTTTGACTTGCACGGGCCTTGCTTCGGGCCTGGTAGTGGTGCCATCCTGTGGATGAAACATTCAAGTGAATACCCATCTCATGGGCCCAGGTGGAGGCCGAAGGGCCTGTGCCACGTTTGAATGGTAATGGGACTGAGCTCTGCACTGGGTCATATGGATCCCCATGGTAAAAGCGTGGCTGCCTCACAATGCCATCTGGTGGCCTCAGTGCAGCCCTGCACACAGCACCTCAGCTCAGTTTCCCTTCTTGGATCTCCAAATAAACCCCACACAGGGTTTTTCCTGTGCTATCACAACTGCCCTCCTTAGAGTCTGATTTATTAACTTAAAGTTCAAAGCGAAACACAAAAGTTTTCCCTCCAGCCTTCAGCTCGGTACAGCCCAACCCCCACCCCCACCTCAGTCTGGTCAGAGTCCTTCCTGCCTTAGCAGGCTGCTCCCAGCACTTCCTAGCTGTAGCAATTCCCCTGGTCTCTGGGTTTTCCCAGCAGGCGCCTCTCTCACTACAGCCTATTGAGCATCCCCCATATTCCTGCCTCTGTCTGCTATAAATAGAAAATTGCCTGGTTCCCCTCAAGTGGGGCTCATTCTGTCATCAGGGTTGGCTTGGCCTCAGCCCAAAGGCAAGTCCCCCCACACCGTTACACCCCCCTCCCCCCGAATCTATCCCTCCCCAACAGAAGAACCAGACTGTATTGTCTCAGTCTGAGACCTCTCTGCTTTGAGGAGAGGTTCTTGGGGACAGGGTTTGTCGTCGTCCCCAAATCCCTCTGCTCATCGCTGTTTCTTAAGGCTTCTTTGCCTTGGCTTTTAGGTTTTCACTTCCCCGACTTTATCTCTTTCCATTTCACTGTTTTATATTTGACTGATTGGCTTTTAACGGGTTGTTTTTCTCACCTAGGGGCCAAGAGGGTTAAGAGGCCTCATTGGCCCAGAGGGTCCAGTCGGGGACAGGGTAAGTAACTATCATCTTCTCCAGACTTTCCCCTGGACTTTTCCCTCGTTAAACCCATGCAGAATAAAATAAATTGGCCATTAGAGATCACTGCCTCTAGTTAATTTCCTGTCCACGTCCTGCAAGAGCAAAGCTCTTGGCAGCTATTAGACACTGTGTGAATAAAGTTACAGGTGGCATTACTTCCCGTTGCCCTGTGGGATGACGGGACAAGGGAAGCCCCATGAAGGTGAAAACTGTGGGCCTAATCCTGCAAGCTCTCCAGGCAGGGGACTCACCTTGAAGACAGCGGGAGTTCTGTGCATGGGGTATCCACAGGATCGGACCCTATCTTAGAGTAATAACCTAAGCGTGGGGGGAGAAGCTGATCTCCTGTGACGACACAAAGATGCTGTTGAGCCTTGCAAAGGGCTGGGGAATGGAACATCTTCTGAATGTTTTGCATGTGATTCCCATCTGGAAAGAAAAGCTGAAGAACCAATGGGAGGACAAAGATTTTTTAGAATATGGGGGGGGGAATCATGAACATTGATGTCCTATGGTGTCCAATCCTGTACCACTGACTTCAGTGAGAGTAGGATCAAGCCCTTACTGAACAATGGTGACTGACCAGCATGGTCTTCTTCGGGTGTGCCTGGACATTAGCTCAGGGGTTAACAGCTGAGTTTTGAAGATGCCATGTCCTTCTGTAGGACCAAGTACGTTACCAAGGCTTCACAGCTGTGAGTGTTATGAGTCTGGTGAGGAGATAACAGCAAGGAGACCCAGAGTGAAAACCTGCTGGTTTAGACCAAGATCCTCTGCTGGAGTCTATTGAGATCCTAACAGTTATTAAGGAACATGTTGCGACTTTCCATTGACATGCATGTGCTTTCTTGCTTTGTAAAAATAATTCAGCTAGGGGTGTGGCTAGGTTGTCTGGTCCAGAAGAGTCCTGATGGCCGCATTTTAATGCTGTCTTATTGTTTTTAGGGACCTATTGGTTTCAGAGGGCCACCAGGACTCCCAGGACCTCCAGGGAAAGCAGTATGTATCCATTCTTACTTTGTTTCCTTTGAATCCTCATGGCCATGGCCTCTAATGTCACTATTGATGCCTAATGCTTGCTTTCACCAGGCCAAACCTTCCACTGCCAGTGAACAACAGAACCTCCCAGTTCCCTCACCAGAAATAACACACGTGTTGCATCAGCACAGTGCTTACTGAGTGAGATGTGCACACGCAATTGTATTTCCATAAAGACCTTCCTGGTTCCCACTGGTACCTCTCCCATCTGATACTGGATTGTTCCCATCTTCCTCAGCCCCTTATTCCCCCACCCCCTCAGAGCTACATCATCTCCCCTGCCCCAGATTTCATGCTGTCCTCCCCCAACCACCGACAAGTTCTCATTCTGGCCCTCGTAGGTTCAACACCTCCCATAGTTCTTCATTGTCCACCTTTCCCCCCCACACACACACTTCAGCAGATGTGGGCTCCCCTTTTATGTGCATTGTTCACGCCTTCTACACGGGGAGATGTTCCGCTTGGTAAGAGGAGGCTGAGCAAGCTCCACATCTGCTCTCCTGCGGTTCCCTCCTCTTGGCCAGATCCATGTTTAGCTCCCAGCCCAGAAGACCATTTTTCCCCAAGGTAAAATATTCTATTCTGTGCCAAAGATGCAATTACACATCCTTTTGAACAAATCCTGAGTGAATGGGATTTGTACAGAACTGTGATGGGCTTGGGGCTGGGGGACAGAATCCACACACCTACCTGTGGACAGTTCTCCAGTCTCTCTATACCGCCCAATTATAGGTTCCTGTTTTAAGACTTAGGGACACTTGAGCCATTGGATTGTGGACCCAGTAACCACACCATCCACCCTGCCTGCGCTGCCACCAAGCCTCTCCTCCACTGTGGTTTATATGAAGCCCAGTTCTATGTTGCATGGTGGATGCAGAGTCCCTTAGCCCATTTGCTTTGCAACCACCCCCCGCCCCAGTGGTGGGACTGTGGCTGGTCCATTACACTGGGGAAATTCACCCTAAGTGAACTAAATTCAGGTCTTGTCACTTTCCCACACAGCAGGCATTAAACTACTGCAATCAGGATCTAAGCGGTAACAGGTGAAGTTTCCCTCCCCCCTCACCACCGTATTTAACAAAGAGGGTACTTCAGCTGAACATGGGAAAGAGTGTCCCTATCCTGTGGGATCACTGCCTGAGCCCCAAATGCAATCCACCCATCTGCACAGTATTAGAGATTGTATCTGTGAAAGCATAGCAGCACTCCTAGGGAAACGTGGGCATCCCTCATGCCTGGCATGGCTAATTCCCCATCTTAGTGTTGGTCATCAAGACGGAGATGGTTAATGGGTTTTCTTTTATCATTCCAGGGAGACCGAGGAGACAGAGGGCCTCAAGGGTTCAGAGGGCCCAAAGGGGATACTGTAAGTGCAATAAAACACTTGCCTACTAAAATATTGAACATGAAGTCTAGTTTACAGTTGTATTAAGGCTTGCCTCTTTCATTCTATTTGTGTCGCTTTGCTGGCAGAAGGAAAAATTCTCAAGGTAGGTTAGAAACTGACAACCTTCATGCCTCTGCATGAGAGGCACTTCTGGGTGGGAGACACATAGATGGATTCAAGGAGAATCCTTGGATCTGTTTAACTCAACCCTGTGCTCCAAAGGGGTCTCAGAGCACTACATTTACTTTCCAGTGTGAGATGTTATGACCTTGATCCAGGTCCCATGTCAACTTAATCTTGCAAGAAATCCTTCTGAAATGTCTTTATGTAGCAACTGCTACTGATCAGGAGATGGAAGATAGTTCTGTTCCCAGTTCTGCTCTCAATTCTCTGGGTGGCCTTGGGCAAGTTACTTAATCGCTCTGTGCCTCAGTTTCCCAATTTGTAAAATGGGGATGATACCTATTAATCCTTATAAATCACTTCCGGGTCTGTGAATGAAAATCACTGGATAAATGCTAAGTAGTGGTAGTTATTATTTCTATGAATCAGAGTGTTAAAAATATTACTGCTGCTCTTAAAACAAATCTAGGAAAGATCTTTAGAAACAAACTTTTGCAAGTTTTCTTCATGGAAAATAGTGCACTTGTGCATGTATTATATCTGGTCATAGGTCAGAGCTTTCGACAGGATATTACCTTGTACACAGTTCAATCATTTGTTGTATCTTTTTGTCTGAAGTTCACGTTGGAAGAAGAGTAGAGTTTAGCAAGATTTCTATACTCCTCCTAATCCTTTTACTTGCTCCATTAGTCAGACTAGTTATTTAATCCTTGATATTTCCCATCAAGAAGGGCTCAAGTGAGTGGGAGGAAAGCAGGGATATTTTCCCAGCCATTCTGAGAAAGCTGAGCTTTAAGGCTCAGATTTGTAATGGTGTCTAGGCGTTCTGTCGCTAAGTATTGCAAGGTCTAAATGACCTACTCAGCTACATCCCATTTTCAAAAGTGACTAAGAAACCTGTGTCTCACTGAAAATCAATTGGACTTAGGCCGCTAAATGCCTAGCCATCTAAGTCACTTAGGCCTTAGAACACTAAGTGGAGCAACATATAAATACCTTTAAAAGTGTGAGCCTACGGGCTCGGGGCTTGATTCAACAGCCATTGGTGTCAATGGGAGTTTGCTCATTTGGGTCAGGCTGCTGATGCTGAGACGTGATGAGCACACATCTTCCGCTGGGCTCATGCTCTAAATGAGCTAGTTATCCATCTGTGGATCGCTCAAGGTCAATCACAAACTGAATGAAATGAACCTATACTGTTAAAATGTGAATGTTGAATTTATTTAATGCTTTTACCTAAAGGCTGTTTCTCTGGATATTTCCAGCACTGGATGATAAATGACTTGTGTGTTTCTAGGGTAGACCTGGACCAAAAGGATCGCCAGGGACCGGTGGACCCATAGGAGAACCTGTAAGTCAGATTTTAAAATGACAAGTCTCTGTGTTCCCTGCTTCATGACTTTACAATACAGCAAATGTTAGAAGAGCTTATGTTGTTTCTGTTTGATGTAGTCTCCACATCAAGGGCTACATTTTCAAAGTTGTCTGAACCTGGACACTGAGAGTCTGTTTATGCAACCCATGCTCATGTTCAAGCCCAGAGCTGGTTCTATAGAAGTCAGTGGCAAATTTCCCTTTGACCTCAGTAAGTTTGGAATTTGGCCCATTCGTTAATTTGGCCCATTGCAGTTGATGGGACTATTTGCCTGACTGTATCCTAACAGGAGTGAAGGCTGCCCAATCTGACCGTACAGTTACATCTACAATTTAATGCCCAAGCAGCATTTCTGCAGTTGGCTGTCTAAACGGAAAGACTTAAAACGTCGCAGGGCTAAATTTAGAGGATGCATTTGAAAGTGTAACCCTGAAATTTAATAGAATCAAATCACTTACTGGTTCTGGCTTAAAATTTAAAATATATTGGACAGTAATGACGACATTGGGTAACTGAAGTGTATGTGTTTGTGGAATTTGTTAGTGCCGTGTTCTCTGAAATTAGAATCTGGGCTGTATTTTTATGATCTAGAATTTATACTGTGGTTAAGAATAGATGATCTGCAACATCATATCCAGAGTTAGTGAAACCTATAACCAATGGTGGATTCATAGGAATTATTGCTCATTAAGGCTATGTCTACACTTCCGCGGTAAGTCAATTTAAGTTACGCAGTCGACTTACTGCGGTGTCTGCGCCGAGCTGTCTCCCGTCGACTTACCTTACTCTTCTCATTCCGGGTGGAGTACCGGGGTCAACCGGAGAGCGCTCTGCCATCGATTTAGCGGGTCTTCACTAGACCCGCTAAATCAACCCCTGGTGCATCAATTGCCAGAGCGTCGATCTGGCGGTAGTGTAGACATAGCCTAATACTTTTGGGGGACTTTATAATTCAACACTAAAGGACTGATTGATCCTTATATGTTTCTGAATCTTTGCATGAGACTGCAATCAATGGTGTCTGTGTCACAATCTTATTCTGCATTGTGCGCTTATTCAGGGCATGCCTGGCAAAGATGGACGAGATGGAACACCTGGACTCGATGGTGAGAAGGTTTGTAAAATCCTATTTCAACACCACACAGAAAGATTTCAATTGCTGTCATCCACCGTACTCGAGTATAGGCTTTCCTGGAGAAAAAGCAATGCTTGAAAGACTTTGGCTCAAGAGAGAGATTTCCTGTAGTGTCACTCAGGCAGAAGAGGAAGATAGTTCACACTGATCACCCTGGGGAAATGCCAACAAGAAATTAAACCCAAAGATTATGTGACATAATGAACAGAATTAGCTAGTATTACCAGGGTTAAGTGACAGATCCTTATTACACAATGACTAATTCTAAAGCCACTTATTTGTGGTGAAACTTGCAGTATAAGGGCTCTCTTTGCAATAAAAGGTTAATGTCCTTTCAGGGCTGTTGGTGGAGACATCCTTTTGTTCTCATCACTTACAAGGAAAGTGCTGTTAAGTGCCAGAGGGTTAGACATGTAACTGTGAGATTCCGATTTCTGAAGGAGACCTTGGCAGGTGATCTCATGGAAATACACCTATTGGTCCTGGGGCAAAGCGACAGCCTTCACAAGTGGGAAATTAGAAGCTGTGAGTAGGGTTTTCAAAAACACCTAAAACAGTCAATGGGAGTTGGGTGCCTACTTCCTCTAGGTGCTTTTGGAATCTCATCCTTTGTGTGCACACAGGCATTGCAATTACCCATTTTGCACCTTCAAATGCCAATTTGTGCCTGCATGTGGTTTTTGCAGACACAACAGGTGAATTTTGACAGGTGCACTCCCCTTAGAATCTTTGTCCAGGAATGTACGCAAAGGCCTGATTCTGCTCTCGCTTACACTCACTTTGCATCAATGTAACTTTATTGATTTCAGGGGAGTTTTTTTCTTTATTTATGCTAGTGTGACTTAGAACATTATTAGGCTCTATAAAAGTTTAAGGCGTGATTCTGGTCTCGCAAACAGCCATGTAAATCAGGAGTAACTCACTGAAATCAGTGGAGATGCACTGGCTTGAAGCTGGCTTGTGAACGGAGAATCCGATCCAAAATGTCCTACTTTGAACATTAAACTTAAATGTTGGAATGTTTAGCGACTCACTGTGTGGTATAATAATAAAAATGAGCACAGATTTTCCGAGAGGGTCTAATCGGGATTAATTCATCCAAAGGGGCTTTTCTAAAGTCACAAGATTACAAGCGATTCTGGATTCTACAAATATTGGGTGGATGGGAAATAAAGCCTGCCTGGAAAATGTCTGTTTGCGGAAGAGTCGCCCCTGACTAATGTGAATAGCATTAGATCAGTCAATTGTCCATCTTAACCTATCGCTGTTTACAGGGTGACGCTGCCCGCTTCGGTCCTCCTGGAGAGAAGGGGCCAAACGGACTTCCTGTGAGTATCACAGTATTGTTGCCATAAAGGAGTTGGAACATCTTGCCCAATGCAGGAGTGATACTTCTCTGTCATTTGACTGAGATGGAGGACACAAGAACAGCTATTTCTCACCTTGGGCCAGATTTTGGAAGGCACTGAGGCATCTAATTCACACTGGGAGGTGCCTAGATGTCTTTCAAAATCTAACCTCTTGTCTCACCGTGTGTCTCAAACCTTTAAGCCCATGAATAAGACTCTCTTCTCATGGTGCAACGTGAGAACGCCAGATGTCTGTGCACAGTATATTATACAGACTGGAAACAATCTGGGATATTCGCACAGTCAACCATGGCAATACAGATAGAAACATGGTTAAAGAGACATGATCTGATCCAATCCAGTTGCAGCCAAAAGACTTTGTTGGGGCTTTAGGAGAAGATAAAGTGATTCCGTCCCCTGCAGTTGGCGATAATCAACTAGTAACACTCCAGATTCTCGTGTCAGTCACAGCTGTGTCAGTGTGAAGTGACTCAATTGAAAATGGCACACCTCCTGCCCCAGTGCCACCACAATGGAGCGGCTGAGACCCTAGGCAAGTCGCCAGGGTGTTAGTGTGTGTCCTAATATTTCAGAAAGAAAACAAAGAGGAAAAATGTTAGCATCATAATGACATTTATCCCTTAGCCTAAGGGCTAAGGCTTGGAAGTCAGGAGACCAGAGTCTACAGTATTCCTAATGCTGACTTACTCTAAGACATTGTTGGCCAAATTATTTAACATCTCTGGTCTCCAATGTCTTCATCAGTAAAATGGGGATCAAAATACGTACCCCTCCCCTGCTTTGTAAAGCTTGTTGAGTATTGTTGAATGAAAGGTGCTATATAAGTACAAACTACTATTACTATTATTATTGTATTTTTCATGTTCGCTTTTCTTTCCCATTATCGTCAGTGGGAAGTGTATGGGTAGCACTCTGGATAATGAACTAGATGGTAATTTCTCCCATTATTTTCACATGGAAAAATGTCTCTAATAGAAACATATGTCCTGTGATTCTAAATGCCCATATATGTTTAATCAGACAGTAAATGTTACTTTCTACAAACTGCACAATTTCTGTTGTTGTGATTTATTTTTTTTCAGGGGCTACCAGGAAGACCAGGTCACAAGGGTCCAAAGGGTGAACTAGTAAGTGAAGGATGAGTTTTCACTGGGAAACTATTGTGTGTGTCATCTTAGTGCACTGCAGCTTTAGGCCCAATCTGGCAACACTTACACACGTGCTTAATTTTGAGCACCAGAATGGTCTCACTGAACTTAAAGGACTGAAAACACGTGCATAAATATTTACAGGATTGCGTCCTTGGGGATCAAGGCCTGCATTTCTTTTTAAAACTGACCTGCTTGAGTCACCTGTTGAGGTGACACAATGTGGATATTCTGCTCACTGTGCGCATTGTACCTTCTCAGGTGTTTCTCAAAAGGACTTTTGAAGATCTCACTTTGATGGGTATTTCGGGAAATTGAAATGCAAAAGTATAAAATGCGCAGTCCAGTCTCCAATGAGTAAATATCCAGTGCAGGGGGTTTAGTCGTGGGAAGATCCCTCAAGTTTCTTTAGACAGTCTGCTTCAATTCCAAAGACTGCCAACGGACCTCTGATAACCCTACCAGTGGCAGAATTTTGGAATTTGCCTCTATGCTGCCAAACTTTCGCCCTGAAGTCACGAGACTTGACATGGCTGCCACACAATATGTGTAAAATGGCACTCTCAGTAAATCTGCATCAACAGTCCCCTTCAAGATAAACTACAAGGAATCTTTACAACAATGCATTTCATTCCTACACTTTGAGACACCAGGCTGGCTCTCAGCAATGTTTGATGAAAGAAAATCTGAAACAGATTGAGGCAACTCATCATAAAATTGCTCATTAAAGTGTATTTGTTCCGACTTTTCCTCCCTTTCAATCTTCTATCTAGCATCAGCCTCATTATTATGTACTGTATACAAAGGCTACTAATCCTCATGCTTCAGGGTGTACACTGATCACTGGCTGAGGTCAGGAGGAAATTCCTCCCACTTATGGTGTTTCATAATATATTGGAAGTCCCAGCATGTGCACTTTAGCATAACTGTCCTATAGTTTTATATGTTATAAGAATTCTTCTCTTCTTGGAGTTTTATTGTTGTCTTTTAGCACGTTTTGTTATCTCATTTCCCCAGCAAGACTTTAATTTCATCCTTTTCCTTCCAGCTGGTTGGTAGAGAAGTTACAGAAGTGACTATGAAGTTCCGCCCAATTGACTGTTTGTTTTCCCCACTACAGGGTAGTCTTGGAGAGATGGGAGAGGCAGGTCCATCGGGAGAGCCCGGTATCCCTGTAGGTATCTCCACATCTTACATATATCACGAACTCTGTTCAGTGCCTCTTAAATTCCATCATTAAACTTGAGCTCATGTGCTGCTTCTCTGGCACAATTGAGCTTGGCATATCCGTAATAAGTGATATGAACTTCTCTCTCTCGCTCTCTCACACACACGTGCATATATATGTACATATGGTTTTTATACAAAGATATATAAAAAGTATATGTACACCGTGTGGTAATGCGGGCTGACAAAACAGTCCTTCACTTGTGGATGTAGAAACATTATGTGTGATTTTATCTGGGGAGTGGGATGTGGGATGTAAGTCACATGTCAGTTCATTAGAAACTCAAATACCACTTACCCTGCTGCAGTGGGGTCAAACAAGCAGTTTAGGGAGGCGGTGTGCCCTAGAGGATAATACACTGGACTGGGACTCAGGAAACCCAGGTTCTATTCTTGGCTCTGCCATTGGCCTGCTAGGTGACCTGGAGCAAGTCACTTCACTGCTCTCTGCCTCAGTTTCCCATTCTGTAAAATGGGGCTAATGATACTGACCTCCTTTGTAAAGCAGTTTGAGATCTATGAATGACAAGTGCTATATAAGAGCTAGGTATTGTTGTTATAATTTATTAACTAGCTGATACCCATGAACTGACGGTGATGTGAGACATGAATGATATATTTGTGTAATGGTTTTACAGTGGGTTGGGAAGGGTGGAGTTCCCGCTTGAAGAACAGCACCGATGACGTTTTGATATTGTTGATAGGGTGATGCCGGTATCCCTGGTGAGAGAGGTGAGCCTGGACCTAGAGGATCATCTGTAAGTAGAACATTGCTTCTTCAAGTATAACCTTTCTGCAGTTAAAACACAGCACTGTTATCAATCTTCAGAGCCACCATCAAGCTAAAATAAAAGGTTCCATCCTCTACTGGCGTAACGTCCGTGGATTTACACCAGCAGATAATTTAGCCCAAAGTAAATGGGCCAAGATCTCCTCTCTTTTACCCCAGTGTAAATGTGGAGTAACCAAACTGAAGTCACCGTGCTTATTCCACATTTACATTGAGGTGGCGGAGAGGAGAATTTGTCCCATGTGATTCATGTGGCTGGTGCTCTTACAGGATGGCAGTTTGGACAATCAGCACTTCCTTGATTTGGTATAATAGGGTTCTTCTGGAATGCCCGGCGCCCAGCACTCTAAACGTGAAAGCCGTCCCCTTTAGGTGTCATTCAGAGATACTAAGGCCAGAAGGGACCACTGGGATCATCTAGTCTGACCTCCTGCGTAACGCAGGCCAGAGAACTGCCCCAAAATAATTCCCATTTGAACTAGAGCAGATCTGTTAGAAAAACATCCAACCTTGACTTTAAAATTGCCAGTGATGGAGAATCCACCACAGACCTTGGTAAATTTTCCCCACGGTTAATGACCCTCACTGTTAAAAATGTATGCTGTGTTCCTATTCTGAACTTGTCTACCTTCAACTTCCAGCCATTGGGCCGTTGTCTGCTAGATTTAAAGAGCCCCTTATCAAATCTCATAGCTGTAGAAAATGTTTACAACAAAATTTGAAATCACACAACTCACCTAGGTTAGTTACAGCCTTGAAACTTGGAAGAGGTGTGTTGAAAGGTTTGCAAACATGCAGGGAGCCCATTGCACTCTTTTGTGCAAAGTTGTGCCCGTTTATGGTTTGCATTAAAATCACACAAAACTCATGACCGCACAATTTGATGCAAAAGAAGGTCACGTTTGAGGCTTTCGAGGATATTTCATTTTGGGACACTGAGACAGCACAAACCTGTGGGGATTTTGAAAAGGAAGCGTTTGTGTGAAATGAAACAGTGGGTTTTGCCCAGCTCTAATCGCTTGGTTTTTTCCCCTCACCTGTAAATTGTAAAGAATTTCTGGTTTGAAGCATCCAAAACAGGATGCTTCATACCCATTCTCAGCATTGTCACAGAGCACAGAGAATAAAGAGTTCTGAATGCTGTAATGAAGGAAGAGTCTACAAATAATTGCATTTCTGCCCATTGGGTTCCTGCAGAATGGTGTAAGATAAAAAACTGGCTTTGTTCACAATATTAAAAATTCCAGGACACCATTTATTTTCCTATTATACCAACAAGTGCTACTGTTGTGGCTGGGCCTGAACTTACAGGGGGTTTTGATCTTGTTTAAGTATTTTTGAAATCAGGAAATGTAAGATGATTGTTTGTATGTGCCACTTGGGCAGAAATTGAGCAGTTTAATAAGTTATTGTTCTGAACAGCTGGCTCTTTAAACTTCCAAGAAAAGGGAAATAAAAGTTAGACTGTTTAAATGAGAGAGAATTAATAGCCAATGTGAAATTCTATTCTTCGGGGCCCTGATGCAGGAAGGTACTTAAGCATGTGCCCAGCTTTAAGCATGTGTAGGGTGATCATATTTCCCAAAGAGAAAACAGGACACCCCCAGACACTTGCCCAAGGCCCGCCCGCACCCCTGCCCCCCCCCACCCTCCTCCCTGCATGCTGTTGCCAGTTGCTGGAACCCAGGAGGCTGTTGCCTGGTCTCTGGAAGCCTGATCGCTGGAAACCTGGGTGGGAGGAGCATGCTGGAATGCTGCTTTCCCCCCCACACCCAGCCCTGCCCCCCCCACATGGGGGACTGGCATCTCCAATCGCCCCCTCTGTGCCGCACCCCACTTTTTTGACAACAGTGGGCATTTATCCCGTTTGCTCTTGCCAACTGATCAAGTCAGCAAGAGCAAACGGGACAAATGTCTCCTTTTGGGGAAAAAGTGGGGACGTCTGGGACAGGGCTTAAAAAAGGGACTGTCCCGGCCAAAACGGGACATATGGTCACCCTAAGCACGTGAGTCCCATTGACTTCGGATCTTACTGAATAAAATGGTGCCGTTTTTACATAGCCTACTGACATGGAACTGCTCATACGCTTAAAGGGACTTCACTGAACTAAGGTCTGATTTTGATCTCCCTGACAGTGGCTTTACTCCAGAGTGCCTGTGACGTCAATTAAGTTTGTATTGATTTAACACTAGTGTGCGATCGTGACTTGTATAATATCATATGTGCTTGGGGCAAAAAAACATGCTGGGTTCTGACCACGAATATAACTAGTTCTCTGTGTATTTCCAAAGCTGCAAACGGGGTAAAATCTTCAGAAGCACATAAGTTCCCTTAATTTTACAATGGGATTTTGGCTCCTAAGTGACTTAGGTCTTGAGAAAGTTGTACCCAGTGACCTTGGAGCCTAAATCCCAGTTTCAAAAGTGACTTAATCTTAGGCTCCTAAGTCATTTAGTCGCTTTCGAAATTTGACCCAACGTCATTTGTGTGTTTTATTTTCTCAGTAGAATAAAGCGTAGCCTCTTGTACGCCGCTGTCCATTTTCTATCAGAAATGTTTTTAGCTGGAATAACAGAAAACACAAAAGGCTGCATTTTCAGAACGCCTGACCTAAGTTGCTGGTGCAAAATGCGCCTGCACAAACTGCAGTGGATGTGATTGCCAGTTTTGACTGTCCCAAGGCATGCACGGTATCATGCTTTTGTATTTGCATCTGTGTATTTCAAGGGGGCGGGCTGGACACCCAAGTTCCTGACTTCCAGAGGGGCTGCACGCTTACAGCTCCTATTTGCTTCACTTGTAGTGGTGGACGCTCAACTCGTCTGGAAATCAGGCCCCAGGTTTTCAATTTGCCAGCCCCCACAGTCTGTTTCTTTAATTACCAGTTTTCTTCCTAACTTCATCTGACAGTTCAGTAAGAGTTGGAAAACGGTTCAGTGAATTAATTAGCTTAACCTGTATGCAATTAAATATGTGATATATAGTTAGTACTAGAGTTGCTTGGCACTCCATCTACCGTTCCTCCCCCCGAAAACCTCTTTCCCAGCAGGCATATGTGTCAACCTACTAAGAACAAAATGATCTGTGAATTGGAAAAGGTGCAAAGGGATTGTCTTGTGTTTTCAGTTCCTGCAACTTAGAATGATATCTCAGAAAGATCCTGTTAGGGTGTAAAAAGCCTTGGCCACTTATTTGACAGTCTGCCCCATATTAACCCGGAAATCTCAAGAGGATGATCAGGTGTACCGGTCACAAAAGCACCATGTAACGGGTCACGGTCAGGAAGCACCCATTGACTTCAGTGGGATTAGTCATGTGCTTAAAATTAGACACCTGCTTCCCTCCCTTGCTGGATCAGGCCAATTAACTGTATCCATTCAGAACTGGAGTGGCAGGTCTGACCTGACATATTCTCAGGGCTGTGTGTCTAGGAGAAGTTTGCACAGCATGTGTCCCACTGTGCCTGTCTCTAGCCAGGGTCACTTAGGCCCTTGCAGTCATAAGAACCAAATGAATCGAAGCATTGAGTAAAACAGAAATAATCGTTATTGTTAATGGTAATCATAGGAATAAAGTTCAATAAACAGCGAGCTGCCTTATAATGGCCATCCATCAGCATGGCAGTTAGGAAGACTTCTATACCTCAGGACTGCCTGCTTTTTGTTGTTACAACGAAGGCAATTCAATTGTGTTCATGACTCAATTGGTTGTGAATGATCTTAATTATGCTTGTTCTTCTCTTTCTCAGGGCGCACTTGGTCTTCAAGGCCCATTGGGAGCCCCAGGTGTAAGAGGCTTTCAGGTCAGTAAGCTAGAAATTTGGGTAATTTAGTACCCACCAGGTTATAATCGTTTGGTGTCCATGCAAACTTCTGGCAAAGAAGATTGGGTGATAGTGACGAATTATTGGAGGGCCTGGATTTCAATTAATCAGAACATACTTAATGCTTTCTTTAATATAACACAGCGAAAGGGGGAGCAAGGGAAGAGTAGTAGCCAAAATACTACTATATCCACTGCAAGAACAAACACTGTCTTTATTTCACAAATGCAGAGGAAGTCTTTTAGATCTGATCATTTTATATCCTTCTTCACCTGGATATTCCCAACCCACTTGTCTTGAGTGTCCCCTGTGCTAGTCCTGGGGACCCCTCCTTTAATCCCGTCACCCGCACTCCCAAGATTGCAGCTACTTTCCCCTCTCCAGGCAAAAAGTGGCTAGGGCCAGGTCCACACTACAAACTTGTCCCAGCATAGTAATGTTGGTGATGAGCTGGGGTCCCAGATCAACAGAGCTGTGCCAGCAAAAGCCCCAAGTGGAGACGCAGTTATACCGGCAAAACCGTGCTTTTGCCAGTATAACTTACCCCACTCTGGGTGGGGCTGGATAGCTATGCTGGCAAAAGTGCAGTTTTGCCACTGTAAGCTGCATTCCCCAGTAGGAGTGCTTTGCTGCTATAGTACAATGGTATAGCTGTGTCGGCAAAGCCTTCCAAGTGTAGACCCGTCCTAGGATTCCGCACGGAGCCTGAGCAGCAAAACACCTGAATTGTCCAGACAACCCACTCTGGAGCATCATCAAGCGCTCCCTTATCTGCAGCCCATCCAGCCTCTGTTGTCAGGGAGAGCTCAGACTCAAGCCTTTCACATGGCTCTGCAAATGTCATCAAGAAGCCATCAGGCCAGCCTTACATGGGTGTTTTTATAAAGCTGCTTTGAATTAAAAGATCGGCAGGTTTTCATACAGTTCTCAGTGTACTGACCACACACAGCAGTAAGGGCTCTATCATCCGGGGCCCGTCGTACTGAAGCTCCATTGCTTCCTGACTCCCAAACTTGGTTCTGTTGGTGCACCCAGATGCCCTTATTGTGGCCGCTAAGCAACCTATGCTAATGCCATTGATGATCTGCAAGAGATTGGGCTGGAGTACCTCAAAGGGGGGAGGGATAGCTCAGTGGTTTGAGCATTGACCTGCTAAACCCAGGGTTGTGAGTTCAGCCTTGAGGGGGCCACTTAGGGATCTGAGGCAAAATCAGTACTTGGTCCCTGCTAGTGAAGGCAGGGGACTGGACTCGATGACCTTTCAGGGTCCCTTCCAGTTCTATGAGATAGATATATCTCCATATATTTTAAAATGCCCTCCCCCAGTCAATGGCCTCAGAGGGGAAGGATAGGACCAGCAAGCAAGGACACGAGGAAGGAGAAGAGCGTACTGGGGTCTGGAAGGAGAGGAAGGACAGGGATAGCGGTTGGGACTCGGGAGAGTAAAGAAGGAAAAAGGGAATCTGGAATGAATGACTTTGTTCAGGAAATCGATATTGAGACTGGTGAACTCTTGGGACGTTAACAGGTGCAAGGACTCTCATCTTTCCTTTGTTTTCCCTATAGGGCCGCAAAGGTGCCAGTGGGGAACCTGGACTCCCTGGTCCTACGGGGATTCGTGGTGAATTTGGTGACAGGGTAAGTAGAGATGGGCAGGAACTTCTGGGGTCTCACGCCATGTCCCCATTCCAAATCATGGTGAAAAGTCAAAATCTTGAAAATGTTCATGAACCAAAAATCTGGAAACCGTTTTGGTTCAAGTCATTTGAAAAGTTTTGTTCCGATTTTGACCTTTTTTCTTGTTTGCTCCTGAGAGGATGGCCTGAATGAGAGCAGCCCTCACTTTACCCCCCCCCCCGCCCGTTCCCTCCACTTTGAGTGATGGACTGGCCCTTTACAGGGACCCTGTGACCGTGAGGAGAACTTTCCTATATGACAGATTTCCCACCATTGGGGTCTCTGTCAGCAGTGTCTGCCTGTCCCTGCTCAGTTTAATGTACTATCATTTACTACTTTTTTCCCTAATTGTCCATTATGCAACAAAGCAATCTGTTTGCTCGTCAGGCTTTTCCCCAGATCTTTCAAAGGTACAACTATTGCCCATAAATCGGATGATGCTAGTGACAATAAAGTAAACCCAGCAGAACTGCGCTAGCTTGTGCTCCCTGCCAGACCGACGATGGAACACAGCCCCTTCCAATTTTCAGAGCCTCATTTTGAACCTTACCTCTAATTTTGAACATTCAGTTTTATACGGATAAATAACTGGGCCTGCAACAAATCGCAAGCGCAAGCAGTAGCGGTTAGATACCTAACTTGCTGGCTTGCAAGGGTAAAATGTCATTGGATGTCTACATTTTACCACTTGCAATTGCAGTTCATTGCAAGTGCAAAACTTCGACTGCAAAGTTAGGGGCTTTGTAGCTGAAAATCAAACACATGATACCATTCAGCTCATATAAATAAGAGAATAAGAAGGTCTAACGCTTCAGAACCTGGGTTCAATTCCCTGCTCCACTGCAGACTGTGTGTGACCTTGGGCAAGTCCCTTACCCTCTCTGTGCCTCCATTCCCCTTCTGTAAAGTGGGGATAATAGCACTGTCCTGCTTCATAAGGATAAATTAAAAATTGTGAGGCACACAGATACTATGGGATGGGGGGCCATATAAGTATCTTGGGGCTTGTCTACATTACCTGCTGGATCGACGGGCAGCGATCGATCCAGCGGGGGTCAATTTATCGCGTCTACGCGATAAATCGACTGCCGAGCACTCTCCCGTCGACTCCGGTACTCCACCAGATGCATGCGGAGTCGACGAGGGAGCATCAGCAGTTGACTCACCATGGTGAAGACACCACGGTGAGTAGATCTAAGTATGTCGACTTCAGCTACGTTATTCACGTAACTGAAGTTGCGTAACTTAGATCGATTCCCCCCCGAGTGTAGACCAGACCTAAGATAAAAGAGCCACCTGGATAGGCCAAGTTCTTATGTCTCAATATATAGGTTCAACTGATTAATAAACTATATCATTCCTTTATGCTTCCTGATGTCAGCCTCAGCAGGATGATCATGACAAATCAGGCTTTTACTGATCTATTGTTAAAAAACAACCAACCAACCCTGAATCATAGGAGTTAGAGCTGGAAAGGGGAGGGGAATCATGAGCTAATCAGCATTTCCAATGCTGCATCTCCATTCCTAGAAGCCCCATTATGTTTAGACTGAATAGTTTATTTCAACAATATTTTCCAGATCCTATCCCAGCCCGATTGGACTATTTGTTGCAATGGACACAGGGTTTACCATACCTGCTCTATATGCAGATTTCATCAAAGTGCAAGATCTCCATGCTCACAGGAGAGCTGCATTTTAGTTATTTAGAATATTTAATTAGGACTTTTTAAAAAAAATCTTTTCTTTTTTCTTTACAAATGGAAACATACCTGGGCCCCGCAAGGCCAGAACTTAAAAATAAATTCAGCGGTTGGATTGAAATAGAATTATTCTTGTTGAAAAGAAACCAGCAGAGCAAAAATGAATGTCAGTTCTCCATGGCCTGCAGGAGAACAGTAGCCGTGTGTTCCATGGCTTCCTTCACTTCAGCTTGTAGGTAATGTCTCTGGGTAAATAATCACCCCTGGGCACCAGGCATTTCACAATGGACCTCTGTGTTAGACCTGGATGAATCTTGTGTTGAGAACTATGCTTCTCAGTCACACGGGGCTCTGAGTCTGGACGCTACAACAACAGGGGGACTGTAAGAAACAAGAATCGCCACAATGAAAAATGTATTTTTGAAGATGACACATCCCTTTAAAACTATGGCCCTGTTAAAAATGAGTGAACAGAGAACAAGTAACTGTTAAAAAAAATAGCAGCCCGGTCACAGGGTTTGGGGAATAATATTGCATTTGCCACTGATTCATTTAAAAAAAAAAAGTTATAAATACCCAGATTCATTTCTACCTTCTGGCTTGTTACCTCGGAATTATTTTAATAGGGAAACTTTTTAATAGAACTTACTTCAGGGCTTGACTTTAATGAAATGACACCCACTAATTCTATGTGTTTGTTCTATCACGTTGTTCTGCTGGAAGTTTCTAGAACCCGCTTTGAAAAAAAATCACATATTTCCCAATTGCCAAATTGATGAATGTGCCATAAAACTGCTGTTCTAAGACTACAGTAATTGAACCCATCCAACAGTGCATTGCAGAAAAGACCAAGGTCCTCAGAACTTGAATTAGCTCCCGGCTGTGTTAGATGGATCCAAAGTCACAGGCCAGGGCTCCAAATGTATTGCTTCATTCTCCTTTTGAATGCTAAAGAGGCATGGTTGTTCTTGGAATGTTTCTTCAGACTGGCTAAATTACCCCTAGGTTTATAAATTACAGCTGCTTGGTTCACCTTTTATTCCTATGGACATCTGACCCTGCCACTTAAAACAGGATACCAGACAAGGTGGGTCCCTTACCGGCAAGTTCCCAAGTCATGCTTCTCTGTGGATGCCGAAGTCAGGAACAGCTAACCCTAAACCCTTGTGAAAATTGACGTAGTAATAGAGACCTTGCAAAACTGTTATGAACATTCATTAGTCCTGACACAAAAATCCACTCTCCTGCTCTATACCATGATGATAAAAAAATCTAAGAATATTTTACATGCCTGGGGGAAGGGAGGGAAAGGAACCTTACCCAGGGGTGAGCGAGGAAGGTGAGTCTGATGTAAATGGACAGAATTAAATGCACATGGCATTTTAGTTTTGTTCAGTGAATTAACAAGGACAGTATGAACAGAGCAACAAAGAGTCCTGTGGCACCTTATAGACTAACAGACGTAGTGGAGCATGAGCTTTCGTGGGTGAATACCCACTTCGTCGGATGCATGTTCACCCACGTCTGTTAGTCTATAAGGTGCCACAGGACTCTTTGTCGCTTTTTACAGATCCAGACTAACACGGCTACCCCTCTGATACTTGACAGTATGAACAGAGTATCCCATAAGCAAAAGGCTTACAATGACCACAATTTACTGTTAGCGGCCACAGAGAATGAACGGAAGGCAGGTGGGGAGGGGCCCTCAAACACTGAGTTATTTTTAATGGCTGGCAGGTTGAATGGGTTATGGGGGAGATGAGGTGGGAGAGCCACTTCAGAGAAGGAAATTGTGACCTGTCATCTTGTGGCTTATGTATACTGTAACTGTCAAGAAAGAAATGTGAACCACAGTGACCGCAGAATATTGCTGCAAAACAAACTGAACGCTAAAACCTCTTGTTGATTCTAAGAAATACAAATGAGTTCTGATCCCTGTCTAGCCTCTTTGTCTTAGCTGGCAATTACAGGATTAGTTTTCCCACCCCTCACTGTGCCAGTGAGCGTCTGACTGTGCTAGGAATGCATGGGAAAAGAACAGTTCCCTGCTCATTCCCCCTTTTTCTTGTTACAGGGTTCTGGTGGAGTTTCTGGTCCCAAAGGTAACCAGGTGAGCCAAGGGTTGGTCTTTCCTTTTCTGGTTATTTCCCCATTTTATTCAACTAATACGATTTAACTGTAGCTTGATCACAGCTATTCAACAGCATTACCAACTTTCCTCCCAATTAAAATGAACAGGTTATGCAGCAGACACAGCCAACACATTTTTCTTCTGATTCATTTTTGTGTGTGCTCAATGTATTTTATTTTAATAAAGGTATCTTGAAATGCCACGCTCAGTCTTCCAGTCACAGTACGTGGCAAGTAAACTGCTTGGGGCCAAATCTTGCTCACCTAACTCACAAAAGTCAGCCTATAATCTTCAGGGGGGTTACCCACGTGAGTGGTCAAGCAGGGTTTGCTTGACCACTCACGTGGGTAGCCCCCCTGAAGCCTCCAATGATTAACTATGTAGGGACTAGGAACATTTAGCCCTTAATAAACTTTTGCTTCTAAACTGTCATGTTTGGATTGCTTCAATTGATGACCTTCCTTGAAATATATAACTTAGATCAATGGAGGAATGTGGTTTATCTCTGCAGAAAATGGAATGCACTCCCAACAACAGTTTATCAATTGCAATTATGCCTCCGATCCTCCTTTTGTTGCTTTCTAAGGGCAGGATCAGTGTAAGTTCAATAGGGTCTGTGAAGCCTAAATCTGAAAAAGACATCTAGTCCCAATCTGTACCATCAGCACAATGATGTTTATTATCGGCTGTAACTGTGTGCAATACCCTAGCCATGTTGTCGTGCCATTCAGAGTGGCATCTGAAACGTGTAAACCCTGCACATACCAACGGGTAGCTCTGTATATATTGTTTCTATTCCTACCTGAATAACAAGCGCCATCTGTTGGTTTAAAGGAAAAGGGATTATATATTGTAGCTTAACATGGCCATACAGGGCTATTCACCGAATGGCTCTTGGGAGACTTTTGTCCTCGTATGAGTCCAACTCTGAAATAAAGCTGCAACTTAATAATTAGCCACCTTGTTTCAAACATCACTGGAAACACCCCGGCCCGATTTTGGGTAGACCCCAAGTTTGTGACTGTTGAAGTTTAGATTTTATTTTTTAGTAAGGGCTTATGAATAGTTCTCTTGCATGTATTTTATTTCAGAGACTTGCTGTGATAATTGGACCTACAAATTTACCCAAATTGTGAGCTTAACTGTGAAAAGTGGGTGTAAGTTCATAAGGTGTTACAATAACCTAATAACAGATGTTGATGGGAAAAGGTACAAAAGCACAGAGAGACTGAATTAGTCCAAACAAAAAGGCCTCAAGGATTGTGTTGAAATCATGCTTGGAAAATTGGACCGTGTGAGACCAAAAATCAATGAACCACAATTGGTGTGTCAGAAATTAGGCCTAATTAGTGGACAAAATAATGAGGGAATGGACTGTTCCACCCATCACTCCCTTTTGGGGTCTTTCAAGAAAGAGAATTTGGGGAGAAAAATTGGCTACTAGAGTGAGCTTCACCATCCTGGCTGCCACCCACACCATCTCCTGGAACCCTGGACCTTCTTCATCCCAATCCTAAAAGTTGTCTTGACCAAACTAGGCCAAAAACCAGAACCCAAATAACACTGCCACTTCCACCAGCTCCAGCTAAATCCCAAATACCACATGGGATTTGAGACTTTGTTTTTCTCTCTTTCCCCCCCACCCATGTGTCCTTTTCCTTCTCTGCCTTTTTCTCCTCTTTCCTATCCCTCTCCTTTTTCCTTTTGTCTAACGAAAGTCTGGCGTAGCTGGCCAACACTGCATAATTTGCAACACTCCTGTAAGCCTGTGACCAGAAAGGGGCAACTCAAATCAATGCCCTAAACAGCTCAATGCTGGTATAAGTTTGCCAGATCTCAAAGTGACTAATAAAACAGTATGCTGTGCCTTTGTTTTTCCAGCAGCGAGGTTGCAAGTGAAAGTCAAACACCAGAGATGGAAGCTGTATTTTCTATATTTGCTGTTCTTTTCTCTTTTCGTGTGTGTGTGTGTGTCTGTCTGGTTTAGTTTTCTTAGGAAACGGGATCAGACTTTAACAGCAGCAGCAATGAAAGCTCCAGCCCATTTCAGCAAACTTCTCTTTCCCCCAAAAAGGACAGTTAATACCATCTTTCATAGCATCTAAAAAACCCGCCAAACAAGGGGGGGGTTTCCCATCTAAAAACTCTCTCCAGCTAAAATGAATAAATTAATATCTATTGTTAAAATGAAAGCCTTACTTAATACTTTACATTTCAAATGCTTTAATTGTTTTTCCTTCTTTTCTGTGTCTTTAATAAAAGGTTAAAATAATGTTTAATGGTTTGCTGTGCTACTAACCATGCCAAGTCTCTGTAGACCAAACCCCAAACCTTTAACGGTAAACCGTAACAGGGTCTTGTTAACACCTTAACTCTTTAGGCCCATGTATTCCAGCTGAATTAATACAACCAGCTGCTTTGGGGTCACATCCTGGTTTAAACAAGGAATGAACAGACTTAACACGGAACTATCTTCCTGGAGTGAAGAGTGTTAAGTGTGGACACCTGTTCTGGCTGCATTGGTGCTCATCAGCACTTGCCAGGTCTTTGTCTCCTATGGGTTCAGCCCTTGCTCAAGTCACTCTAGAATTAAACTTTTGCCACAGCGAGTTTGACGCAAAGGGCTCCTAGCTCTTGCAGGAGGCTGCCTGTTATCATGGTTGCCATTCAGAGCAGCGGACCAGCTATTGTGGCGTGTACCTTAATTTTGCCATATCCATTTTCCAAAGTCAGAAAACTTTCCCACTGCAACAGCAACAAGGCACTGGATCCTCTTTGCTCCCAGTAGGAGTTGAGGGTACTCAGGGCTCAAAGGACTGGGCCTGACAGAGTAAATCCCACTTGGAAAGTGTAGCACGTGTTTGTGAATAACCATTGCAAACCCACTGGTGAGGTTCTCGTGTGTTAACTGTTGTGCCTCGTTATCAGGGCACTGCTGGAGCAGATGGCCTGCCAGGTGACAAAGGAGAACTGGTAGGTATCATTTAACCAAAACAAAATTAACATATCAAACAATGGGAGCCCAGAGATTAATGAACCAATGACTATTAAAACCTGCCAGCGTTGAATACACGAGGGCTCCAAAGGCTAGTTACACTATTGATTGTGAAAAGAGAACGGTGTCCTGTGAAACCAAACCAAATATCCCATTCACCATCAGCACTGTGCCCGTTTTAGTTTGACTAGTAAAACTAGAGGAGGATTTCTCACGTGTACAGCCAGGGATTCATCATTCGTTATTTCTACCCCTCAGGGAGATCAGGTGCATAGAAGCCGACAGTCCCTTCTGTTCTTGGGTATTTAGGCTTTCCACACCTTGGTTCAATGGAGGCTGTCACTGCCAGGGAGCTGCGTTCAGCCCTGATATATGTGGGTCTAATGATGAATCCCTGTCTATAGAGGTGAGGAATCCTCTAGTTTTACTAGTAAAACTAAACCAATCAGTTATTCCTTACAAGTGCAGTCCACGCCTGAACCTCTTTTATCCCTTACCTTGAGCCCCTCCCCCCTCCCCTCCAGCTGTCAGAGGACTGCACTGCTGAGCAGACGAACCCAGCACTGCTCTGCAGAGCTGCGGGGGTCGCAGTGGTTCTCAACCTTTTTGGGCTCAGGGTCCATTCATAAATGTTTATGGCTTGTCGTGACCTGGGGGTGGAGGCGCTGGGGTGGTTTCAGTCGGATCCTGCCCCCTAGTGTCCTGCCTGGCACTCACCTCACAGTGGCGGCTCCTGCTGTGGGACTGGCTGCGCTTGGCTCTCGGCATTGCAGTTGTGTGAGTGGAGTTGTGACCTGGCTCATGGGGTTCCAGTGCCACTCACTCAAATTTGGCCTACTCAGACTCCCGTCGTCATGACAGCTGGGCCAAATCTGAGTGGCACTGGGACCCGGGAGGTGAGCCCAGCCAGCCCCGTGGGACAGGAGCTGCCCCGTGACCCTTTGAAACATTCTGGTGACCCAATTTCCGGTCCCAACCCCCGAGTTGAAAGATACCAATGGGATTATCCTCCCTCCTGTCAGTGCCCTTTGGTTTCCTTGGGCTGTGCCCCTGTTTGCAGTATTGTTCTTTGCATTGATGTAGAACCCACAGACCCTGCTCAGGAATCCCGTTACATTAGGTATGGTACACAGTAGTGGTCCCTGCTTCCAAGAGCTTAAGGATCTGCTTTTAGATGTTTACTTTGCAACTGATTCTTGTTCTTTAGAGAAGAATAAAATCAAACTTCCCCCTTTTTTTTTATAGGGTCCTTTCGGCCCCCCAGGACAAAAGGGAGAGGTAAGTGTCATCCATTTCAGACTGAGAGTCACAGAAATGTTAAGGAAACAAATGTGCTTATCACATCCCAGTGTAGCTTCTGATCTCATTGGGTTATGCAGCATCAAGAGTGGCATTGTCTTTTATTTTGGGCTCTGGTCCATTAATATAACCATTAGATGACCCTTAGTGTTGATTTTTCATGCACACTCTGGGGCCAGTCTTCAAGGATGGCGACCTAAGTTCTGTGTGTAAATCCTACATCTGTCTGTGGGAGTAAAAGCTCAGCAATGCAGAATGGGGGAGTGTATAATGAGCCCCGTCCAGCAATGCGCTTAAGCACAGGCTTAACTTTAACCGCCGGAGTTGTGCCATTGATTATTGCTGAAAATGCCTAATGTGGAAAATAGTTTATTCAAAACTCTTAGCACGTCACTTTGTGTTTCCCAACCCCTCTTGAGGAGACAGAAATTTGGCCCTGGGAAGGCTAAGACAAGCAGCACCCTCGAGAAGATATTAACTGCTGTTGCTATAATGGTGACATACCAAAAGGCAGGAACCGTTAGGTCTCCACGCTTGAAATCAAAGGCTCTCTCCACGTGGAAAGCAAGTGAGCATCAATGCTGTTGGTTCTGACATGGTTTCCCAGAATGATGTTCTTCTGAGAACCATGCTGTAAATCTGCTACTGTGTGGCCTGTTTACGTCACTAGAATGGTCTGAATACCGTTGCTGCTAGCACTGTTTGAACTATAGCATGCATATGGCCTAAAACATGCATAATAATCATGACAGGTATGTAAACCCATAAATTCGAGATGAGGAATATACATGGTCAGCATACCCACTATGTCAGTAAGAGAGAAAACAAGGAAGCCGGAAGAAAAGCTTAACTAAGAAATACTATGGAAGAATAACAATATACTGAGCCTCCTGTTTTTAAGCTGTTTGGTTTCTCTTCCTCCTTAGTCAGGAAAAAGAGGCGAGTTGGGTCCTAAAGGTATACAAGGACCTAATGGGACATCTGGTGTGCAAGGGATTCCAGGTCATCCAGGACCTATGGGCTACCAGGGAGAGCAAGGTATCCCCGGCATTACTGGAAAACCTGGTCCTCCAGTAAGTATCATCTGTTCCTTGATCACAGTCCTGCATTGGAAATGGATGAATGGGTAATAGGCAGTACCGGTTATGCTGGACTTTGGGCTGAGAGGAAACATCTCCTTTGCTATAAGTCAGTAAAGAAGAGGTCCTTAATGGCAGAAATAAACAAAAATGCCAGCCTCTGGGAGGCTGGATGGTCAGGGAATTTGTAATAGGATATGTAAAGTTGTAAATCTAGGTTGCTGGTTCAAATCTGGTGCAGTGGAGAAGTGAATGAAAGTTACCATCTCATGGACATTTGAGGTATGTCTACACAACAGTATAAGCCCAGGATTCGAACTCAGGCTTAAGCCTAACCCCAGTTCTGTCTACATAGAAATCACATTAACCCCAGGCTCAGACCCAGGGTCCCAGGACCCCACAGGGATGGTGGGTCCGACTTGAGTCAAGCCGGGACCCAGGGTTCAAGCCCTATTGCTTTGCAGTGTGATGTAGCTCCACTGGACTCAGCTCTGGAAGTCTGCCAAAAGTATCCCACAATCCCACAGGCCGACTTTCTTTGTCCTCTGGATAGTCCAGTTTTGTGGACAGTCAAGTTTTCCCACACTGCACCATGAACAGATGGCTAGAGTGGCCACATTTTAGGAGGGCACTAGGAAGTCTGGGATATGGGTGAATGTGAGCCTGGATAATGCAGTACCGATGCTGGAGCCCCAGGATGAAATCCAAGGTTCAACAATTCCTAACCTGGGATTACAAATGAGCGTAGACCCTCCGGTCCTATTTTAGCAAACCCAGAGTCTGTTAACTCGAGTTCTACTAACCCTGGGCTTACACTGCAGTGTTGACATACCCTCAGAGGCCTGTGTGAAATGGGTTTGATGTTCTCAGTCCAGTTCCCAATGGACAAGGGTCCACACCACCAAAATGACATCACAGCTGGTATTAATTGGTTCCCTTGGGGTGGTCCCCTGAGAATGAGTAGGGCATGGAGCTGAACTACCTGCTTGTCCCTCCAGAGTAGTGTTGAAGAAGCATGCACTGACACTCCCTACGTTGCTCCTGTTCTGTGAATAAATGTAGACTATCTCCAAGGCTGTCAATACAGCACTAAAGTAACATAAAAATGTAAATAGATAATAGGAGCCTGGCCTGCCTGCTATAATTTGTCTTAAGAGTAACACTAAACTGTGTAGGTCTCAATTGCTAAGTGTTCTCAGAGGGCAATTGGTTCCAGTGTGTTAATGTTGGCAACTGTTTGGTCAGATCAGAAAAGAAAAAGCCTAGTCCAGTGGATTTTAACATTTAAACATTATGGGCCAAAGATTAAAGGGGCTTTTAACCTGGACTTCAGCTTTGCAGGTGCAAATGACTGTGCCCAGAATTGCAAATGAGGGCACAAACATGAACAAATTAGAGGTCACCAGCATTAGACTGACTTCTAATTTTGCACTTCCACCACTGGCATTTGTGCATGCAAATCAGGTAACTGCACATCTAACTAGCAGATATGCAGAAGCAGTTTATTTGTACAAACAAGTGTGCACACAAAATTTGCAAGCACAGAATTAAGACTCATTTCCAAAAATTTAAGGATTAGTTTCCTCTCAATGTGATGCGTTGTTAGGAGTTACCTGCATTCATAGATTCATAGATTCTAGGACTGGAAGGGACCTCGAGAGGTCATCGAGTCCAGTCCCCTGCCCGCCTGGCAGGACCAAATACTGTCTAGACCATCCCTGATTCATTGGGGTTGGATGTGATGTGTGAAGTCATGTTTGTTCTCCATAACTGTGATAGCACTAAGAAAGTAAATTGATAGCAGTCAATAACTTTAAAATGCAAACCTGTCTCCTGTTGGGTCTTTATAGTATTACTCACATTAGGGTTTGATTTGTTATTTTCCCCAAGCTTGAGTTTCACTTTTCAATAAAAGCCAAATAAACAACAAATTAAATATATGACTCGGAACATTAGCACCACAACATTCCCACTAACTTTAAAATCAACTTCATTAATATTACCACCACCCCAGGACCTTAAGGCTGAAGCTAATATTTTCTGAAGAAACTACTCTTTCTTCTTAATAAAAACTCTTCTGCTTGATTTTGCAGTCCATTAGAAATAAGTTTCTTTCAGGGATCAATAGTTTGATGACAATCAATAATATGATTTTGTGTAAGGACTCTTTTGCCAATTGCAGGGCAAAGAGGCCAGTGAACAACACATAAGAGAACTCTGTGGGGGAATGATAAATGGTGAGTATAACTGGGAGATAGCTGAACTTTAATTATTGTCTGCATCAGAATATAGCTGCACTTTATAGTCAGAGAGCACTTGTTTCTATTTAGTTTAACAATGATTGTAATAATCTGAGACATTAGGAATTCCATTCCAATGGGACTTGTATTACTAGCCAATCATTACAAAGTATAGTTTCCATTCACTGAATGGCTCATTGATATAGTTGCTGTTTTATGATGCCAAAGGTCATGGGATTTCATTCCTGATAGAGCAATAAAGTATTGCTTCAAAGAAATTATTTTATGTCTTTTGAATATTTTGCTTCTTGAAGATTGTGTTTCATTCACTTTTTGTGGCGGAAACTAAAACCTGCAAACCTATTTCAATTACTTGAGTATTGATTTCCATTAAACTTTGCTTCAAAATTATTTAAAGTGTTTTCATTTAGTTTATAAATAACATGAAAGAAAAAATTCATCAGTTTGCAAAGTGATTAGAAGTTTCTGAGCAAAACCCCCCACACAAGTCCAGAGGTTTATTATAATGTAAAACCATTTTTTGTCATCTTATCAAAATGCATTCACCGGATTCAGCTCAGGGCATCTCTGGTTGTGGGTTACCAGGACAGATTCTAACTTCAGAAATCCAGAGCCTATAATCTTCTCCTTTGATTGGATACACTTGGTGGCAAATGTCACATACCAGAAAAAGGTTTTCAAACTTCAGACACAGGCATAAGGCAAAAGAATTTAGTTTTGGTTTTGTTATATTTTTTTTCTCAGAACAAATTGCACAATTAGCTGCTAATTTGAGAAGGCCCTTGGCTCCGGGACTGATGGGTCGACCTGGCCCAGCGGGTCCTCCAGGTCCACCTGGGGCAATGGGAAGTGTTGGTCATCCCGGTGCTCGTGGTCCACCTGGATATAGAGGGCCGACAGGAGAACTTGGAGACCCTGGTCCCAGAGGTGAGTGAGATGAAATCAGCGGCAGCCTAATGATCCTGCTCCCTTAGAAGAAGTTTTCTCAGTGATTTCAAACTTCAGTGGTGCAAGGTGGTTAGAGTGGGGGAAGGGGTCAGGATTTTCTGTGTTACAGTGCACTCCGTTTATAAGAATCACCGATATATGAATCAACTGCATATAGTGATCAAAACCACCGGGACTAAATGAGTCCTATACTAAATACTCCACTTGTAAGAATCAACCGCTTATAAGAATCAAATAATCCGGGACGGCTATGCACGGTAGTATATACTGCAGCATGTGCAGCTGCTGAAGCTCCAGTTATTAACAGGCACCTATTGTTTAGTTAACAAAGTAAATCCTCATCACTGTGATATACTTGGGTATAATGAGGAATGAGGCTTGTCTTGGGGATTTATGACCACTGTCCCCCTGAACTCCTCCCAGTATTTCCCCTCCTGTTCCTGTACCATCGTCCATGATATTCCATTTGTCTGCAATAGCTTCCTCAGTAATACAGTAGAACTTCAGAGTTATGAACACTAGAGTTACGCACTGACAGGTCGATCACACCTCATTTGGAACCGGAAGTACGCAATCAGGCAGCAGCAGAGACAAAAAAAAAAACAAATACAGTACAGTACTGTGTTAAACCTAAACTTTCCTTGTGCTGCTAGTGTGAGAATCATCCAGCCATGATGGCCAGTGCAAGTCTGCAGAGTGGTTCACTACAGCACCGTGGTCTGCCCGTGTTGGGGGATGGATTTTGTTTCTCAAATCCATAAAAACCCAATCACCTGGCTTTTGAAGGGATATCCGGAATTTTACCCATAAATAGCAAAGTTTTAGGACAAAAGACCTTTAGCACCAACCTAACTACCATTGCAAAGTGACATATACCTTTAGGACTAAATATAACTGTGTTTCTTGGAAGCAAGTGTGTTTGTTTGTTATTTTCCTTAAACAGAATTAATTAAGATGGCAAGTTAGGACAAAGTTAGGTGGGGGGGTGGGGGAGGACAAAGGCAGAGTATGCTGCATCTCAAGGCTACTTAGGCCTGAGCCTACAGACCTTACTCACATAAGCAAATGCTGCAAGATTGGGACTTTATTGTTAGCTATTTACACCTTACAATTAATGTGCAAACATTGCAAATTGGTAACAGTTGCTGAAAGCAAATCCAGCATTTGAAGATTTTAAAACTCCTAAATGTAATGTATAGATGCTCTGTAATACATGAGCTAAACACTAGGGGGCAGCACACTAAAGAACTTGGTTCTGCAGAAATTTAACTTTTGCTTTTGGGAAGCCACTAGTAAATGTCTCATTTAGGGTTGCCAGCTTTCTAATCACACAAACCCGAACGCCCTTGTCCTGCCCATTCTCTGAGGCCCCGCCCCCGCTGACTCCATTCCCCCTCTCTCTGTCGCTCGCTCTCCTCTACCCTCTAGGGTGACCAGATGTCCCAATTTTATAGGGACAGTCCTGATTTTTGGGTCTTTTTCTTATATAGGCTCCTATTACCCCCCACCCCCTTCCTGATTTTTCATGTTTGCTGTCTGGTCACCCTACTAGTATCCTCATTGACTTTCACCTGGGGCAGGGGGTTGGGGTGCGGGAGCGGGGCCGGGAGGGCTCCAGCTGGGGGTGTGGGCTCTGGGGTGGGGCTGGGGATGAGGGTTTTGGGAGTGTGGGAGGGGGCTCAGAGCTGGGGCAGGGGGTTGGGAAGTGCGAGGGGGGGCAGGCTTTGGCGGGGGTGCAGGTTCTGGGGTGGGGCCGGGGATGAGGGGTTTGGGGTACAGGGGGGCTCAGGGCTGGGGTTGGGG